CTTGTACTTTTAGCTTAATTTGTAAAGTCATCTCCATTTTTTCCTCATCAAATCTACTTTTATTCACTCTCCCTAGTAACTATTTCCACTCTCTTCTTGATTGCCAAGCATGGGACCTGAGCATCTTTCTCGGGATTTTTTTTCTTCACTCACCCCTATATACCACCAGTTAAGGAAAGCCGATATTAACTCTCCTATTACCACTGTTTCTGTTCAGTTTCTAGTCATCTCTGACCTCAACTAGCTACAGCCTCCTGTTATCCCTGCCTCTGGTTTCGTCCCCATTCGAATCTGGCCTCCAGTGACCCTCCACAGTAATCTCTCTGAAGCACATATCTTACCCTCATCTCCTGCTTAAATCCTTCCATTGCTGTCAATAGCCTTCAGGGTAAACATTTGCATCTGCAGATGTGGTATATGTACACGAAGGTGCTTTCTCCTCTGCCTTCTGCATATCTTTGCCTTCTCCTTTATGCTGTGTAACAGCAGTCTGCTCATAGTCCCTTGTGTTCATTAGCTAAATGATAGTGAAATAGCAAATGTGAGACCCACTGGACTAGAAGTATCCCAGACTCAAAACTTCTAGAATAGGATATCAGGGAATGAACTTAGCTAGGGAGACTTAAAGTTTCTCTGAGGGTATGTGTGACCCCAGTGACTTTTCTGCTCTTGATTCCGAGTCCCAGCACTGTCCTGAGATTCAAGAGACTTAGACCTAGTCTTGAATCTGTCGTTTAGGGCAACTCCCACCCCATTTCTAGTCCAGAATCAGTAGGTGAGCAAGGCAGTTAGGAGAATGGGCTCTGGAGCCCAGGCTGTCTGATTGGAAAGGACTCCAGCAGCTGGCTCAGTTCTGACTCAGCTCCTTTTCAGTCCTTAGTGGTGGGATTAAATTATGACTGAATAACTCAGTCTTCCCTGTCTATGGAATGGACAGGAATAATGCTTGCCTCCAGCAAGTTTCCAAAGAGTGGAAGATCCAAAGAAGAAAGAGAAAGAACAGAGGTGAAAGAAGACCTAATGGGTATTCCCCATCCCATTTTGCCTCCTCCACCTAGATGCTTTTACACATAGCATCCCAGAGCCCTCTTCTTGTTCCTAGGACCCTGGGACAACCATGCTATCCCTTCTTGCTGCTGACTTGTTTCCATTGTCCCAAGTTCTATCTTGAGGATCCAAGAACCTCTGTGCTGAGGTTTGATTGATGGTGATGATGTCACCCCTTTGGGAACATCTGCTTGACAGTCACTGTTCCTGGACAGAGTTGCCCTAAGAAGTAATGCCCTTGGTGGCGGAACATTGAGTCCTCTTCAGTTCTGATCATGAGAGCCTGTCTTAGGCAATAGTCCGGCACTTGGAAGCACTCCAGCTGAGTTGAGTCCCCGGCCACTCGCCTGGCTCATGCTAGATTTCCCCACATAAAATAGAGGGAGATACTTCCATCATTCTAGACATGCTCATTTTCATCTGTTTACTTGCTAAGAGGAGATATTTAAACTTAGCACCTAAATTCTGAAGAAGCTATCAAAAATAGACGGTTCAGAGTTAGGACATTCTGGGACATGGCTTCACCTTAGCTCCACGCTGCTGCCATCCTCTACTTCCTCGGTTTTTTTCCATATTTCTCTAAGTGCTGTTTTAAATTTTTGTAGCTCTATGGAAAGAAATTGGCAAGCCTTACAGATCCATTTCTTTTGGTCCTAATCCTAGGCAGAGCCCTATCCTGGAGTTAGGTAGAATCAGAGCAGAGACAGCATTAAAGCTCACTTAATAAGTTCCCTCGCTCTCTGCACCGAAGTTCCTCACAGTGTGGCCCAAATAACACCTGTCATGATAGTCATCTTGAGGGTTGGGGAAAGTTGTTAAAAATGCTTCCCTGTTTTATTGAATCAGTCTCTGGAAGGTAGTCTAGCAGTAAGTGTTACAAGCTTATCTGGTGATTCTTATGTTTACCCAAGTTGGAGTATCATGGTGTTAGAAGTTGGACTTTTAGTCTGGGATGGCCTGGAATGGGGTCCTGAAGTATGGACCAGAGGTGACCTGACTGAGTGCAAGTCAGGAAAGTGCTTGGGTTCAGCAGTAAACATCTCACTTAAATATCAGCTTTTCCTGAGTGGCATGTTCTTTAAGGCTATGATGAGAATGGAGGAGGATATGGGGGCATCCACCAGCCATCCTGCTTAGAAGGTAGAGAGCACTGAAATGGCAACCCATCTCTCCCTGCTCCCATCCCCAAATGTGAGGTTAGTCAGATAGGTCTGATCAAAACATACACCATTCTAACCTTAGCTTCATTTTTTCAACAGATATTTATTGAGCACCTTCTATGCGTCAGGCGCTGTTATTGGTGCTTGGGATACATTCACGAATAAAGCAAATATCCTGACCCTTGTGGAGTTTACATGCCAGAAGTAAGAAATAGAAAATAAACAATATACATAATAAAGTCAATTATATGTTAGAAGGTAATAGACGCAAGAGAAGAAAATAAAGAGTAGAGCAGGGTCAAGCGGCTGGGTGGGGGAAGTGTCTGTACTAAATAGGGTGATCAGGTAGGCCTCCTGGGCAAAGAGCACCTGTCTAGGGAAATGCACACCAGCACAGAGAACAGATAGTACAAAGGCCCTGGTGTGGAGAGCAGATCTGGTACAGCCTTAAGTCTAGGGCTCAAGGTCTTAAACCGTTTTCCTAGAAAACTTAGTCCTATGACCCTGTTTCCATTTGGGTGTCAGGCCCTAAAAGAAATGTGCTCTTTTAAATTTTTTTTTTAACATTTATTTATTTTTGAGAGACAGAGCAAGACAGAGCATGAGTCCGGGAGGGGCAGAGAGAGGGGGATACACAGAATCCAAAGCAGGCCCCGGGCTCTGAGCTGTCAGCACAGAGCCTGACGCAGGGCACGAACTAATGGACTGCAAAATCATGACCTGAGCCAAAGTGGCCGCTTAACCGACTGAGCCACCTAGGTGTCCCAGAAATGTGCTTGCTCTCTTAGAAGATGTGCTAAACAGTTGAATTAGAGAAGGTTAATGCTGGACTGAAGTTTAGGTACATTCCCTTCTCTTTAATGCAAATACTGGGAAGTTAAGTGCCATTGAAAGCCTGGCAGAGATGGGACTAGAGTATAGGCCCCTTTCCTGTTCGCCATTGTTAGACTTTTCTAGACAGCTTTGTTTAAGACTAACCCTCCAGAAGAACAAGTCAGGACAGAGCCTGAGGAGTCAAAGTAGGCTGGTTCATGTTGGGGGCTGTAGAAGGGGTGGGCTCTGAGGACTTCATCTACCCCAAAGTTTCTGGGCCCCTTTGTTTTTCCCTCTGCCTAGTTTCCCTGCCCCCCAGGGCCATCACTAACCATATCTCCCTCTTCTTTGCCACTAATGGTGGAAAGCTTAAGGGAGTAGCTGTCAAGCAGAGTGATGGTTCTAGAAGACAATATACAGTTTATCAATATTGAATTTTGTAGCTCGCCTCTGCCACTACCATTGTAGGGAGCCGGCCGGGCTTGGCAATGTTATTTGATAATAGAATAATCATCATTTATATCGCAGCTCTGGAGAGCTTCTGCTACTGACAGTGGCTTGGTGCCTGGGTGTTAAAGAGGTAAAACAGGCTCCAGAAGGGAAAGTGAACCGGGTTGAAATCCTTGACCCTGGAAAGCTAGACTTTGGCCTCTGTCACTGACCATCGAGAGGGGGTAATTTAACAAAGATGGCACCCAATAAAAGCAGCCCCAAAATGCTTTCTTTAAAAATGTGTCCTATGAGAACATCTAAGTTTACCTCTGGCTGTCTAGTTGGGTAATTGACTCTACTTTGTCCTCCCTTTATTAGATGGTCCCTCAGCTGGAGGTGTAGCTAGCAGGTGGACAGTGGGTCACACTCAAGTGGCTCTGTCAGCCCAGGGCCAAAGGGTTATCCTGTCAGAAACATGGGAAGAAAGGAGGAGATGAGGTTAGCGGGCGTGTTCATAGACTTTTAGAGCTCCAAAGGAAGGACCTTATATTCCTGGATATTTTTTTTTTTAATGTTCATTTATTTTGAGAGAGAGAGAGAGAGAATGTGCATGTGCCACCCAGGTGCCCCATTCTCAGATATTTGGATGTAAATCTTTTTTGGCAAATCAAACTTGTATTTCACAGCTATTCATTCTCTCTTTAAAATGGGGGTGGTGAGTATCTTGTGAAGAGAATCATCAGTCTTGTGAAGTTGTTGGGGCCGGGGTGGGTGTGAAGTGGGATGGATTTCACATATAGGACCCAGAAAGCAAAAGCAATTCAGTAATGTTCTTCGACATTTGAAATAAGCTGGACTCCACCTTTCTCCATTGTTTCCAGTTCCCTGAAGGGCCTTGCAAGAAAAGAGGGGCTCACACTGTAGCAGGAGGGTGGATGTTCAGAAGCTCAAGGAGGCTGTGGGTCCTGGAAGGTCTCTGAAGCTGGCTCCAGGGTCTCCTCACTAGTGAGTCATGTATCCCTGCAACTTGAAGACAGCCTGCCCTCTCAAAGACTCTGATGGAGAAGTTAAGTGACCTCAGGGACTCCATATGCCAAAGTGAGAAGGAGAGGCAAAGGGAACGTTGCTAAGAATACAGTAGGAAATGTCCCAGGAGGCATTTGGGGTTTCTTGACCAGAATAAGGTTAAGGTCATGAGAGAGTAGAATCTTCGGGTTGAAAGCAATAGTATATGGGGGCAGGGGGGAGCAGAGACAGGGCACCCTAGAAGACAAGTTCTGAATCCAGGGTATCAGGAGCACTTGGGAGCTTTTGTAAAACACAAACTCCTGCCCCCATCCCCACTTCCACAGAAAGATAGGTTAGACTCTCCAGAGGCAGGGAAATGCTGCAGGGTTCCAAAGGTGGGGGTGAAGAGAGGGGTAACGGGGGAAAAAGACTAGGCCTGGGCCTTAGTCAACAGAGAGAAGGAGTCTGGGTGAAGCTCTTTAAGAGTATATGTAACTGATAAATCCTATGTCGGGCTGGTCCTAGAGTTTTAAGTCCTCTCCTATTCTAAAGGTCAGGAAATTCTGGTCCTAATGTCAGTGCTGTCATCTAGTGGCTCTGTGATCTTAAGCAAATCACTTCACCTTTCTGAGTCTCAGTTGCTTCTGTTGTAAAATTAAGGAATGGTTGCTAAGGTCTCTTTCCAGCTCTGAAAGTGTAAGTCTATGGTGCTAAAGATTGTTATGGCTTCTCCATCATGAGCTGGTGTATCACATTCAGAAGACTAGAGCCTAGGTGCTCTTCCTTTCTTTGTGGACTGTTGGGATTCAGCTGACCTGGGACCAGCTAGTCTGTCTGCCAGCTTCCAGGCCAGAGCCATGCCTAATTATTTGATAGAGCTTTCCCCAAAGTGGAGCACTGCTTCTGTGTGAATAGAATTAATTAAATTAGAAAATATAAATTGAGGGTTCCATGGCCCAATGAATTTGAGTATCTGGGTTAAACACATTTAACATTTTCTTTTTTCTCAGGACTTCTCAGAGCATCAACGAACCAATATGCATTTTGAATCTCTTAAAGGGGGAATAAACAGAATTTCCCAAACAAATTTGATCGTGGGATCCACTTTTCTAAGGAGCAACCCTTAAAAACAGCAACAACTCCAAGTTAGATGGTCCTTACTCCCTTTTTCCACAAATTCTTGACCTTCAAGATGGGAAGGAGTGTTTCCACTCTTCCTCCTCTGGAATCCCAAAGGCAGTCAGTCTTTTGTCACAGTCTCCCTAGCGCAGCCTTGCAGGCAGTGCCAATGATTTTTGCTAATTGCTATTGAATTCCCATTGAATTGACACCCCTCACAGTTCCCCATGTCAGTCCCCCATGCTTCCCTGCAGCAGATGCTCACAGATTGCCCCCTTTACCTCAATATCTGAGAGGTAGAGACAGACAAGTCAACATGGGCTCCTCTGAGCCCAGAGCTTCCTCTTGGTGGCTTGGTCTGAGGATCACTGTGGCTGGATTGACAGGTAGTAGCTGTTGATTCTCTGGTTTGGGGTTAATTTTCTATAAGAGACAGGAAGAAAGCTGCCGGAGTCCCTCACCTTAGGAATATATACGTCCTGGGATGGAAAGGTAAGCTTGGTGAGAAGAATTGGCTCTGTCTTATTTGGGCAGGAAAGGTTGGTTGCTCTCCTTTGGACTCCGTTTTTACACCCCATTTTCCGTGTTCATGTCTCATCACTCTGCCCTCTTTCTCCTCCATCCTTCTTGGGTTCTTTTCATCTTCCCCCTGCTCTTCTAAGCAGACTGGCTCTCCTTCCTCTTCCCCCATCCCAATCTCCCAATCCCCTCTTCACACCCCCGCTGCCCTCCCAGCCTGGCAGCGTGCCCTGTAGGAATGTTAATTAGCATTCACGATTTAATTAATTCAGTAGCTAATTAATGATGGGGGGGGTGGAGAGCTGGGGTGCTGGGGAGCTGGGGGCTGGAGGTGACAAGGAGAAAGCGGAGGCTGCAGAAGGCATCGCAGATGGCTGTGTGGTGGCTGGCACAGTGCCCACCGCCATGGATGCAAACACTCACACGCACGCACACGTACGTACACATACACACACACACACACACACACACACACACACGCACGCACACCAAAAAAAGGAAAGGGTGATCGAGGAATAAAATCAAAAGCAGGGAGAGAAGGGCACAGGGGCCCTGGGAACTGGGGGTGGGGAAGGCTCTAGATCTATTTGAATCTGCTCCGGAAGTGGAAGAGGAGAAAAAAAAAAGAAACCACCACAGGCGCAGAGAGAAGAGAGCTCTCCCGATACCCCACCCCACCCCCACCCCACCCCAGCCACCCCTCCTCCCTGGCATGGGATTCATGGGCACCAGCTGAGGACAGGGTCCCCTCCCTCTGCTTGCCATAAATATTGGCACCGAGGACCCAGACTCAGAAGGACAGGACATTCCCAAAGAAAAAAAATTTTTTTTAAGTTGCTTTTTAAAATATACATGTATATATATTTTTAAAACATTGCACCCGTTTTGGTATGAGGGCGAAGGCGAGTGAAAGAAGGTGGCTGAGCCAGGAGGAGAGAGCACAGATGGCTTGGTGGTGGTATGGTGTGGTGAGTTGTGGGGAGGAGAGGGGGTCTGGCAGAGGTTGGGGGTGGGCGGAATGAGGACCCTGTTTTCTTCTTTTCGGTTTGCTGTGGATGAAGGAGGGAGAGAGAAAGAGAAAGGGGGTGGGGAGAGAAGCGAGACAGATGGCAGAGTGGAGAGGCGGCAGCCAGTGCCGGCACTGCCCAGCCTGGGCGGACCCAGCTCCCCCCCTGCCAGCTTTCCAAATGCCACCCTTCCCCCATCCTCCCCTCACCCCATCCCCCCAGCTTGGCACTGATCTCCGAGAGAGAGGGAGAGAGGCTGGGCAAAGAGCATCTGTTCCCTCCATTCTCCCAGCTCTATCGGCTGCCAACCTAGGGCCATCGCCTGCCTCCATCACCCCTCCGCCCGCCTGCCCGCCCGCCTACCCACCCAATCCCAAACGGGTGCTGGATCAGGTGCCGAATCTGGCTGCCTCCTCGGGTATACCCGTCACTGTGCATTGCTGTGTGTCTGCCACCGCTGCCTGGCACTCATGGGGCCGTGTGTATGTGTGTGTGTGTGTGCGCATGTACATGTACGCATAAACGCGTGCTGTATGTGAGCCTCCTGGGCATGGGTGGGGGTTGGCACTGCGGTTGCCAATCTAGTGTCCAACCAGAAGGACAGGGGGATGGAGTGGAAGGAGGGGAGAGGGTTGAGGCCTGGGAGGGCAGAAGAGGGTGCATGAGTTGCTTCATGCTGCCTGCTTACACGCATTGGCACTGCAGCTGCCACCCGTGTGCCCGCGGAGATGGGAGGAAGCGAATGGGGAGGGGGACAGCCGCAGGAGTCCTGGTGGTCTGAGAGGGAGACTCGGTACCTGGGAGCCATTGGCATCACACCCGTCAGGCTGGTGCCCCGAGCTCTGGCAGTGGGAACAGGGGCCCCAGGAGGCAGAGAGGAGGGGCAGAGATGTGTTAATGATGTTTCTGTCTCTCTGGAGCTCAGCTCTGAGAAACAGTTGGACTATGAGGTAGTTAGCCTTCTTCTAGTCTGGGAAAGTGAAGTGGTGGAAAGAGTAGCCAGGGAAGTGCCAAGAAAGTGTCTAAGAGCAGGAGAAGGGATCGTGCCACTGCTCCCTGGGGGAGCTCCTCAGGGCTGGCCTTTGTGAAAAGCACGGGGATGTGGGCGTGAAGCAATGGGTGCTGGCACTGCCCACGGAGCCTGGCAGAGGCTCTGGCATTGTGTGGAATGGAGGAGGGTAGAAGTGCCTCTTGCCAATCTGGTTGAGAAGATTGCTGTGTGCCAGGAATGAGAAGGGAGGTGAGATGGTGTGTGTGTGTGTGTGTGTGTGTGTGTGTGTGTGTGTGTGTGAGAGAGAGAGAGAGAGAGAGAGTTGTTTGGGAGAACAGACTTGTTTTCTGCCAGGACCTCCTTCCTGTTCCCTCTTAGGCATGGGGAGCGGAGCGACAGACGGAGAGAGGCTTGAGGACACAAAGGAGGAAGCGTGCCATTGCCAAGACCCCAAGGAAGAAGGACAGAGAGCGCTGGCAGTCCTGTCTGGCCCCCAGCCAGTTTCCTGCTGAAGATGGCCAAATCCTCTTGCCTGGTCTGTGTATGTCACCGTGCGAGCATGGTGGGAGCGGGGGGGTGGCTTGCTTGCTGAGCTGGGATCTAGAATGGGAAGGGCACCTTTCTGTGGATCTCGTTTGGACTTTCCACTCTAACAAGTGAGGTATCTGATTTTCTCCCTGGTGCCTTCCTCTCCTCCCCCTCCCTCCACTCCACCCCTCTTTCATCTCTCTATCACCATCTGGGTCCTACTGCTTGGCACCCAACCAACTAGATGCCGCCACGCTTGGTAGTGCTGCACTGGCACGTGAACAGTGTCTCAGATCCTGGCACTGCGGCAAACCCAAAGCCGCCAAACAATGCTCACGACCGCCACTTGGCGGCAGAGGGAGAGGGGGCAGCGCACATGGGCACTCCGGGCATCAGGCGGAGCTCTGCTGGGGAGTGGCATGAGATGGCACCCTCAACAGCTTGCTGCATCGGTACTTGCCAGCCAACCTCAAGTAGACACCCACCTCCCTCCTACCTAACTGCCTCCAAGAAAGGGATTTAACTGCTACCACAGTCAGTGTTGGAGTAGCTATTTCAAGGGAACCTGGAGAACAGAGGGACAAGGGCATAGGCAAGAAACCAAATCCAAGGCTCCAGGCCAGTGGCCTGTACGCCTCTCTGGGCAGTGAAGACAGAGAAAATGCTAGCAGGGCAAATGAAAGCTGTAGAGAGGACAGCCAGCTATGTTGTCACAAAGCTGGTGCCAGAAGAGATTAGAAGAGAAGTAGGAAGGAGGGACCCTCAGGCCTTGCTGTTGGTTGTGGGGTGGTTTATGCCTGTATATATTTTGTCTGCCCTATATCTTGTGATTGGCTGAGCTGTGGTTGAGATGAACCAGTTCTTCCTCCCTCATTAAAAGGCCCATATTCAGTAACAGTCCCAGGAAAATGAAGAGGTGCTCTAGGCCTAAAGAGGTAGATAAGTATAAGGAAAACAAAGGCACCTGGGACTTGTCCTTCCAGAAAGAGTGTTTGTGGAGATTTAGGAATTTCTCAGTGGCACCGCAGTTAGGTAGAATTGGATAAATGTCCATGTCTTTGAAATTCACCCCTGAAAGGGAATCCACAGATCAGCAATGAACCCTCATAGAGAGGAAGTCTCCTAGAAGGAGAGTCCCCAGCATCTGTGGTGACACAGACCAGCCCTATGCCTTCAGAGGCAGTGCCTTTGGCAGTGCCATAAAACTGCACCTTGGGCCTCAATCTGGAAGAAATTCCAATAGGTTGGGCTTTCCTTGCTTTCTGAGTAGCCAGAGGCTGTGGATTAGTAACTAGGAAGATCTTCAAGTAGAAGATTTGGCTCTGGGTAATGTTGGGGGAGGCTGGGTGGGTCCGATGGAGGAGAAGACCTGCCCAGAAGGAAATCAAACCATTACTATGTTACTGAGCTGCTTAGGGTTGGGGGGAGTTCTGGTTTCAGCATCTCTGGAAGTGGATGTGAGCTTCAGAAGAAGGGAGGTGGTTTCCACAGCAGAGGAAAAAGCAGGGAGACACTCAGCCGAATGGGTGAGTGGATGATGTTTCTTGTCTCCTGTTCAAGAACAGCCTGTTGGCAGAAGACACAGATTTCCCAGATGTTGGAGGTGGGGGTGATGGCAGGGTAATGAAGCAAACAATTCCGAGGTGATGCTAGGCGCCTGGTGGGAGCCCCTGGTGTAGCAGGATAGGGCCCTGGGTGGTGGAAAGTTCCAGGCAGGTCACAGACGTATATGGGCTGAGCAGCCCATTAGGTTCTTAAACTAATCTGAAATGTGTTTCAGGAATGTGCATTTTAAGCCAGCACAGGTGACCACGATGCGGGTGAACAGAACTTTGAGAAACTGTTTTAAGAGACAGCAGTCACCTTGTAGAACAGTTACTCTAGATTGGATTTCTCTAGGCTTTTTGCATCTTTCTTCTTCCTCCCCAACCACAGGCCTGTCTTTATGCTGCCATGCATGTGGGGTGTGTGTAAATGTGTTTTGGGTAGGAGCAGCAGGAGGAATAGGATGGATTGTGAGGTCAAATCACGCAGGTTTAGCTTGTCAGAACGGTGCTTCTCCCTGGCAGTAGTTATCACAAAAGAATCCCTTAGGGAACACTTTCAAATTCTGATGGTAGGCCGCCCTTTGTTTCTGAAACTTTACCACTGAGAACCACCAGGTTAGGAGCATGGCCAGAAGATGGCTCTCTGTGGTCCAGCAAGATTTGTGTGGATTCTATGCTTGGTACAGGATGAATCCTAATTACTCTTCTTCTTGGAGACAGATCTGGGTCCTGGGTAGTGGAAGGAGGGGTCAGCAGAGTACAGGGCCTAGCTGACTGTGGATACTTAGCAAGATGCAGACGATACTGTTGTTTGAGCACTCGGTGGGAATGAGCACAGTGTGGGTCATTCTTCAAGTCCAGGTGAAAAGACATGGTACAAGGTTGAGTATCAGGGAAGGACTGTGGATGTGGGGCATGCTGAGCTCCTACAGATTACCCATTTCAGTGTTTTAGCCATTGTTTGTGTAAAAGTGCGTGTTTGCTTGGATAGGATTAAGAGTTAACCCCAGGAGGGCGCCTGTGTGGCTCAGTTGGTGGAGCATCTGACTCTTTTTTTTTTTAAGTTTATTTATTTTGAGAGGGAGAGGGAGAGAGAACATAAGCTGGGGGAGGAAGAGAGAGAGGGAGAGACAGAATCCCCAGCAGGCTTCGTGCCATCAGTGTAAAGCCCGACATGGGGCTCAGACTCACAAACAGTGAGATCATGACATGAGCCAAGATCCAGAGTCAGAGGTTAACTGACCGAGCCAGCCAGGCACTCCACATCTGACTCTTGAACTTGGGGCCATGAGTTAGAGCTTCATGTTGGGTGTAGAGGTTACTTAAAAAAAAAAAGAGTCAATCCCAGGGCACCTTTCCCCATTACCTTCCTTCTGGTCCACATAAGCAGGTCCAGCCTGCTTCCCCATGAGTTTCTAGCCAGACAATTCTCTGGCTGGAGAGCTGCAGGAAACACCAGGTTCAGACTACTGACAGGGAATAATGCCACTTACCCCTTTGTGTGGAAGGTTGTCTGAGACCTCTGTATGATGGAGAATGACAGAGTGGGACCTCACCCAATTTTATGTTCTTCCTGTATAGTCTTGCCTGGAAATCACTTCCCATCGCTCCCCAAACTTGACGAGTTACGGTCTAGGTCTTCTATGGATGTCCTCTATCTCGCTTTTCCTTCATCTGCCCTTTTCACAATGTATATAAGCTATAATCCTGCAGACTGGGTCTGTAGCCCTTCTTGTTGTAGCAAAGGTTTCCTTGGTATTTGGGGCATTTCTTCCTTAGTCCTAAATGACATCCTCACGGCTCACAAGTTTTTCACTAGTTGCTCCCAGATGGTGGTTTGAGCTTTGCACCACAGCCTAGAGAGAAAGGTTCCTCAGTGCCTACCCTTCCTATAACACAGGGTCCCAAACCAGTTTATTCCTGTGTTTCATGAGTTTTCCCTAAAGTTTCCTCCTGATTTCTCTTCTACCTCTCCCCTCCCTAGTGTCACAGTGCAGAGAAATTGAAAGTCCTTTCCCCATGGATTATAACACTTGGTCGCCCTTTCTGATACTGGTTACATTTCCCCCTGACTGTTCATAAGCTTTTCAAACCCACTGTTTTTATGTGAAGAAAATGAGTATGTCCTGGATGGTGGTTCTACTTATGTGAAGTGTAGGTGATAGGTCTAAAGGCATGTCCTTTGTGCCTTTGTGCCCATGGGGCCCTTCCTTAGGGCATGTATGTATCCCTGTAGCTCTCTCCATGGTTCTGCTGCAGTTGCTGACAGTGTGTGTGCTTGTTCCATTGGTGCAGTTATACAGACAGAGTTCTGTATTTCAGGTGCAAGTTCCTATATATATTTCTATTGGATGGAAAAATGCGTCTTAAAACAGGTTGGTGGAGGTTTGGGGGATTGGTGATCTGATTGTTAAGCCCTGAAAGTGACTAAGGAACAAATAGAAGGAATTAAGTAGATGGGTGCTACCATGGCTGGAATACTTGGCTTTCTTGGTTCTTGTGCATGCTTCTGTAAGTACACTCCAGGGGCTAGAGAGCTGGAGAAAGAACGGGTTTCTTTTAGTGGTCCTATTGCACATTCTACCCCATTTGGCTGCTGCAGCTTCAGATTTTGCCATATTCTTGCAGAAGACTTGGAGTTCTGTTCCTAGTTGAGAATGGGGTACCTTAAAGCCATCCCATAATTCTGGTTTAGAGCAAAAACAGCCAAGCTCATTTCCACCTCCTGTCTCCTGGTACTGATCCTAGCGGTAAGTAGGGTAGACCAGAATTTGGATGCCTTAGGACCCATGTGTGTCAGACCCTAGACCTTTGCCCCAGGCCGTGGAAGACCAATCATAGGAGCCATGGATTGAAGCTCACTTTAGGGTTGTTGGGGTGGAGCCTATACTACAATATAGCTGTTGATGTGCCAGGTGCTTGAGTTGGGTCTACTGCTCCCCAGGAGAAGCAGCACGACCTGGTGCTCACCTCTAGCATTTTGCATAGGGCCTACTGACTTCTGTCTACCAGAGTGGCCCACTGCGCATTTCTGAAGGAGCACTGCTCCTGTGGACTTCTGGTCTGAGAATGGAGTTAGGGAGGAATGCTTCCGGGCACTGGGAACATGGAATGGGAAACCTAACTCCACAGTCAGCCCTGCTCTTTTGTCTCAAACTGCAGGGTTCCTGGTTAGGACAGTTGCTTAGAGTCAGTTGCTGTCTACTGCTATGCATGTACATGGTGTCTCCAGACCAGGGTATCCAGGTGTAAGGGAACATGTTTGAGGGCAAGAGGAGGAGGAGGGATATCTGGCTCTCTTAACTCCCACTAAAAATATACACAGTTCGAACTGAAGCCAACCTGTCCTGGTTGTGAACTCGTAAAATGCATGACACCACACCCCTAATCATCCCATATCAGGTGTTTGCCATGGTTTTCTTTAAAATGTTTCTTATCTTTTTTTTTTTTTTTTTTTTTTGGTTTTCAACTTTTATACACAAGTCATATTCCCTGAAAGCACAGAGTGAAAAAGCTTCTTTCCTCACACACGTTGCTAAGAAAGTAGTTTTATACACAGAATCTCAACAGGAGAAGGTAAAGGATAGGGAAGGAGGGAGGGCGGGGTGTAAAAGAGATGCTGAGAGGTGGGAAGGTTGGCAGCAAGATTGAGACCACAGTAGGGCCTGCATTTATACCTGACATCATCAGAATGACTGGCTCTGCCCCACCCCAGTTTGCTAGAGTAGGAGCTTTTAATTTTAGAAATGGACCAGAAGTGCGATTCGCAGAACCTGTGGGCACTAGGGACTCAGCTGACTTTTCCCTCCCCCACTCTCCCCTCCCATCTTCTGGGCACATAAGCCACCGCTTTGGTATTAACCAGTTCACAGGGTGGAGTGACGGGCCAGGAAGTCAAAATCCTAGGGCTGACTGAATTTGTGTGTCTGCATATTAAATGATGATGGTAGCGGAAGAAGCCTGAAGGGAGAAAGTTTGCAAAGAGACTCCCTTGAGAGGGGAAGTCTGAGGCAAGGGGAGTAGCAGAAATTACCTGGAGGACTAGGAGCTTTTGCAAGCTTTTCTTTGTTGAAATAAAGCACCTGCTTTTCTACCCTGTGCCAATTTAGCTGGGCTTTGGGGTGGCCAGTTACCACCTGATCCTGGCAGGAACAATGAGGTTAGAGGTGGGGGACTCTCTTCTAGCTCATTCCTCTTTCGTTGGTCCCCTTGGTGACAGCACCCTATCAGACATTCTTCACCTTGTGCTTCAGTCACCTACTTGCCCACCCACCCCCTCATCTGTCATGAGCTCCAGAGCCGTGTGGGCCTCCCGGACAGCCTGACTCCTTTGGTGGCACCTCCAGCAGCTGCTGCTTGCTGGTGGGAAAAAAGGCAAGGGCAGAGGATGAGGGAAGAACACATATGGAGAGCAAGGGACCCCACAAAGGCAGGGAGTCCAAGAAGTGACCAGAAATGGGAAGGGAGATAGAAGGGTTTTGTGAAAGAAGCAAAAGGAAGTGGTGGTTAGCTGCACAAAAGAGAGGCTTACCCAACTGCCCTGTCCACCCCTTTCTTCCTTGGACCTCCGGGATACATCTGGTGGTACTGACCTTTCTAACTAGCAGCTAGGAATGAGGGGATGTTACCTGTCCTGATAAATACTCAGTTCAGGGGCAAGGGTAGGTCTCCCCCGTGTCTGAGCCCGTCTCCCCATTACCAGCCCCCACCTGATGCTGGGCATGACCAAGGCCAGGCTGCATGGCTTTCCATCTTGAGGATCACCAAACCCACACAAGGACTTAAAGCCATTAGATCTTCCAAAGACCAGTGGTTTAAAGAAACCCTCAACATGGAGGGGAAGGTAACACAAACAGGAAAAAAACACTTATTTGATGGGAGACTTTTCAGTTTTTTTTTTTTTTCTGTATTTTCCAAGTTTGTGTTTTACTTTAGTTCATTCCTCTGTCTCCATCTCTCTCCCGTGCACATGTGCGCGCGTGCTCTCTCTCGCTGTTTTTTTTTTTTTGGTCGTGTCTGTGTTTCAGGTTTTTTTTTTTTGTTTTTTTTTGTTTTTTTTAATAAAAGAACTTTGGATTTGCCGTTGGTGGGCAGCGCCGGTCCCGGAGGCTGGACCCCCACGTGGCAGGGATGGGACAAGGGGCAGGCCCACGGCTGCTGAGAGGATCTCTGTGTTTAAAGCCTTTGAGAATATGCTACTGCAGTTCCCAGGGTGCAGGGTGGGGGTTGGCAGAGGGGTTCCTGGCGGCGGCTTCCCCTAGAGTCCAGGCCGCAGGGGCTCCCCTGTCAGGCGAGGAGAGGGTTAAGAGGGAGGGGTGTGGGGAGAGTGAGCTGCAAGCACTTCTCCCCCTGCCAGCCTCCAGTTTGGTTCGAGTTTTGTGGGCTCCCTGCCCATCCCAGGCTCCAACCTTGGGAGCCAACTGGGTATTTGGAAAGTTTGTGAGCTGTGTGACGCTCTAGACAAGGGGGTAAGGAGAAGGGGGAGTAGCAATGTTTGTTTTCCTTACCCCTTCTTTGCCTTGGGTTTTCTTTATTTTCTTCTTTTTTTTTAATTTTTTATGTTTTGGTGTTTTCTCAGTCAGTAGAACAGCATGGGATAACATGTACTTGTGTCTTCGCGGGGGTTGACTGTGTTTTGGGGGGGGGGGGGTGACTGGGAATCCAGTGGGGAAAAGGTTGTAGGAAGATGGACTCAAGGATAGATCTTGTGTGTGGCGGGCAGGGCAGAGATGAGTGGACCATCAGGAGGACAAAGTGGGTGTCTGTGAAGATGGGGCAATGAGCCGCAGAGGATCAGTGTGTGTCTGGGGGCAGGGGAGGAGGCAGGACTCTGCTGGAGGTGGGGTGTGTGAAGCCCACTGAGGGTGGGAATTTAAATATTCCCGTGAGGTGGGCGGAGCTGAGGGTTGGGGTGAGGGATTTGAGCTCCCACCGAACACCCCTTGGAGTAAGGGAGGGAGCCCTGAGGCCTTCCCCTCTCCCCCCATCTTGGTTTATCTGTTTATAAAGCTAGAAGTGTAGAGGTAGTAGTAGTTTTTGGGTTGGAGTCCGTGTGAGGTAATCTTGCTTCCTCTTTGGCAAAAGCCACGGCAGCCGTGGCGGCAGTGGCGGCGTTGGTGACGGTGATGGGTGGGCCCCCTGGGGGTGGGGCCGCCTTGCGCCTGTGGGCCGAGGAGCGCAGGTGGGAGGCCAGGGCTTCGTGCCCACTCAGCAGCACCTCACATGCCAGGCAATGGTAGGTGCATATGGGCACCCGCAGCGGGGGGGGCACAGAACCCCCTGAGCCCCGCCCAAAGAAGCAGAAGGATCTCTGATGAGCTGTGGCCGGGGCCTCCCCATCAAATGCCATCTTGCACTGGCGGCACAGATAGCGGTGGGTCACATCCACGGTGGAGATGCCGGTACTGCCTGACAGCAGCTCATCCGCCTCCCCGGCCTCCCCCTCCCCTGGAGCAGGCAGTTCGGGCGGCTTTGGAGGTGCTGTGGCTGTGGGCTCAGGGGGCTGGGGTGGTGGCTGGAGGAGGGCGTTGGGGAGCAGTCCGATGAGGGTCTGAGGTATCACGGGGTTCATGGGAAATAGCCCCTTCTTCATCCCATAGAGCTGTTGGAAGTAGGCCCCCTGTAACTGGGGGCCAAAGACAGCTGGTGGTGTTGCCCCCCCTGCGGGGGGCAATGGGAAGGGCAGAAATTGGCCCCCCAACAGGGCTGGGACTGTAGCCTTCAGTGCTTTGAGGTTCTTGAGGGCGTCAGTGGAGGAGTTGGTGGGCGCTGCAACTGGCTTGCGCTCACCAGAGACCTTGTCCCCGGAGGGCTCAGTAGGGGGGCCTGGGGCAGGGTCAGTGGTGCCTGTTGTGGAGTTGTTAGTTTGTTCGGGCACAGGTCTCTGAGGTAAGGGGCAGCCTGGGCCAGCAGTCTGGACCACTGTGGTAGCAGGCAGGACTGAAGTGGCGAGGCCCAGGAGGCCCGAGGAGGCTGCAGGGCCTAGGAAGACGAAAGGAGGGATGAAGGGTTAGCCACCTACTGGCCTGGTGTCCATCCTGCCACTTCCAGCCACACCCTCGCCCATTCCCACCACCTAGCTGCCTTGCTCCCTTCCCTCCCTTCTCTCCCCCAAGAGCTTGAAACTAAGGAGGCAACAGGAGAGTGGAGGTGGAAGAGTCCAGGAGAAAAAAGAGGGGCATGTCATTAGAGAGAGATGCTTTCTGCTTTCTGAAGTCCAACCCCTCCCAACTGCCCACTCACCTGAATTGAAAGGAGCTAGGCTGCCCAGCGGGGGTTGGGCCAGAGCTGGACCAGACAAGAGGACCGGGGCCAGGCGAGGCAGGGCCGGGCCAGCTCCAAGGGGCACAGAGGCAGGTGTGGTGGCCGGTGGGGCCTTGGGAGCTGGGGGTGCCTCAGGTGCTGGGGCCAACTCGTAGCACTTGCTTTCACTCTTCAGCTGGGCTCGGACTGCCTCTTTGAGCTTGGCCAGGTGCTGGCGGGAAAAGAGATGGCCTCGACAGGAGACATAGAAATCATACTTGACGTCACAGTAGGGGCAGTCGGTGCGCTGGGCTCCCAAGGGGCCCTCACCGTTGCCCCCAGCCCCACCAACTGCCGCCCCCTGCAGTTTGGCCTTCTTTTCCTTGGCACGAGCATTCTGGAACCAGACCTGGATGACTCTCTTGGGCAGCCCAATCTCCTCCCCCAGCACCTCGCACTCCTGCATGGTTGGGGTACGGTAGGCTTCATAACAGGCTTTCATGATCTTCAACTGCAGGCTGCTCATCTGGGTCCTGTAGCGCCGCTGCCCCATTCCATCTGGAACCCCGACCCCACTTCCTGTTCCTCCACTGCTTCCCCCAGCCCCAGGAGACTCTGGTTCGGCCAGACTGGAAGCAGACGAATCGCTGAGATCCCCTGCCGATGGACTGCAAGCCTCGCTCTCTGGTGAAGCTTTAGAAGGTTCCTCTGTAGCCTCTTCCTCACTGGGTGGAGGGGGAGGTGGGAGAGGTAGAGGTGGCTCTGGTGTTGGGGTGGTGGCCTCCTTCCCAGGTGGTAGGAAAGCCAGGGGCCCGGCAGCAGGAGTAACTGGTGGATAGGGAAAAGCAGGTGCTTCCCGCTTTGGGGCTTCCCTCCCAGATCCATCATCTACCTTGCCCAACAAGAGGTTGAACTTGGGGAAGGCTGCAGGGGCAGGAGTGATGGGGGGCTTGACTGCTGGATTGGGCACCCCACCAGGGGTGCTTCGAAACTGGCCTTTCCTCTCCCGGGCCCTGGTGTTCTGGAACCAGACCTGCACCACCCGCTTTTTGAGTCCCACCTCCTCGGAGATGCAGTCGAGCATCTTGCGCGTTGGGTTGGAGTCTTGCATGTACCAACGGTACAGGATCTCCAGCTGCTCGGGCAGGATGGTGGTACGTAGGCGCTTGTCCCTGGGGGGCTCGCCCTCCCCTCCACCCCCTGCCTCACTGCCCGTTGGGGACAGGCTGCCCTCCTCATGCTTCCGTTTCAGCAGTGGCCCTGGGGCCTGTGGAGCACCTGCCACCAGGGGGCTTCGCTCCCCAAACACCAGCAATGGCAGATCTAGGAGGTGGGGTGCAGCACCGGGCTGCAGGGATGGCATGAAGTGTAGCCGGCGGTGACTGGTCAGGAGGTCTTGGCTGGGGAAAGACATGGTGCACTGGTCACAAGCGTGGACTGGGGAAGGCGAGGAAGGGGCCCTCCCTTCAGGCTCTTTGCCTCCTGGGTTTGTTGCCTCTGCTTGGCTCAGTTCTTCCCTGTCTGCAGGTTCAGGTGACGGGCCCCCGGGGCGTGCGGGGGGTTCGAGGCTCTGTTCTTCCTCTGCATCCTCCTCCTCTACCTCTTCTTCTTCTTCCCCCCTCTCTGCCTCTTCCTCCTCCTCTTCAGGGGGCTGGTCATCATAGCATTTCTTGAGGTGCCGCACCAACTCAAAAACACAAGAGAAGGTGGCATGGCAGCGCCTGCAGCCAGAGGCTCCCCCGCTGCCCCCTCCGGTCGGCACAGGCCCCCCCTCGATGGCATTTTTGCGTGCTTTCTGGCGGGCATTCTGGAACCACACTACCACCACACGGGTAGCCAGGCCCAAGAGACTTGCAAGCCGCTCCACTTCTCCGTCCTTGGGGTAGGCACTGGTCTCGAAGAAAGACTGTAGGGCTTGGGTCTGGAACTCTGTGAACTTGGTTCTGGAGAACCTGCGGCCTGTAGGCAGTAGGGGAGGCAGATTCCCTCTGGAGCTTTCTTCCTCCTCTGGTGGCCAGCGTCCTCCTGCCCGGCTTCGCTCCTCAGAGGGACGGGCCCCCCCTGCCTCAGACTCTGGGACCAGGAAGGGAGGGCCCAGTTGGGGAGCTGGTGAATCCAGGGACCCATCAGGAGGTTTGGGGGGCTCTGCAGGGGGTGGGTATAGGCTATCGTAGCTCTTTCGAAACTGAGCAGCATAACGGCTCAGGGCCTCAAAGGGCAGAAATCGGCGGTGGACATGCTCCTCATGTGTCTTGAGGATAAGCATATTGGAGAAGAGTTTCCCACAGGCCCCACAGGCCAGCTTGTCTCCACCCCCCAGGGCCTCTGGTGGGGGTGGGGTCGGGGGAGGGGGCACAGCCTGCTTCCCCTCGTTGTACTGGATCACCAGCTCAAAGCCAAAGTTTTCTAGAAGGGCTTTGGCTGCAGTGCGGGCTGCTTCATTGGGCGTGGAGTTGGGGGGCGAGGCGGGCCCCGCCTCATTCCCCTCTTCCGCCATGGGAGGCCGCTCCCACTCCCGCTCAGCCAGCTCAGCCTTAGAGGGCGGGGGAGGAGGAGTGGCAGCTGGCAGAGACAGCAGGGGTGTGGGCCCAGCCAATGCCAGCTTGGGCCCCACCTTGAGGTCATGGAGGTAGAAGGGCAGGAGCAGCTGTTGCTGCTGGAGCTTAAGCAGTGATTCCGGCACCAGAGGGAAGGGGGGCAAGACTGGTGGGGTGAAGAGGGGTGCTGGGAATCGGTGTAGGTCCAAGGGGGGTGGGGGAGGCGACAGGAAGGGCAACCCAGATACGAAGCCACCAGGGTCAGGGCCCTTCTTCTCTGTGCCAGTCTCCCCCTCAGTCTCACCCTCCTTGGGCTCTTCTTGGCCACGCTCTGGCCCCTCGGCCTTGGCGTCAGTCTTGGTCCCCCGAGAGCGAGTCTGGTGCAGAACTGAGCGCATATGGATCTCTAGGGTGGAGCTCTGGTTGTAGGAGACTCGGCAGACAGTGCACTTAAAGGGCTTGTCTGTGGCAGCAGCAGTGGGAGGCGCAGCACCTGCCTCTCCTCGGGCAGGGCCGGACGGGTCAATGGCAGCCTTCTTCATCTTGTGCAGGTGAGAGACAGAGTTGTAATGGACCAGAAGGATATTCTTCTGTGTGAAGGACTCCTTACACACAGTGCACTTATAGGGCCGGGCAGGGTCAAGAAACTTGTCCAGGGCAAAGTTGGTGGTCTTCCGATAGGTCAGAGGGTGGCGAGAGTCAGATGGAGCTGGCTCTGCAGGGCGGAGCTCCCCCACACGCCCCTCTTCCTCCTCAGCCATGGTGGGTGGAGGGGCCAATTCTTCCGCCAGGACATCAGGCCGAGAGGCTGGCGATGGGGCTGGAGAAGGGGGTTGATCAGGGCTTCCTGGGGGCTTGTCTGGGGCCTCAGGTAAGGGCGGGGGAGGCTCAGGAAGAGGATCAGGACTGGCTTCTGGGGTCAGCTGAGGGCCTTCTGAAGGAAAGAGAATGGTGCCATGAGAAGGTAACTGTCTGAAGTCAGACCCCACCCACCCCATATCAAGGACAACTGATCCCTGCCTCAGTTGTCTTCAGACCCTCTTGGTCCATGAAGCTCACGTCCCCTTTCTTACCTGCTCCTTGTTCTCTGCTGGGTTCAGGCTCTGGCCCCGGAGCAGGGGGCTCTGGGGCATCCCCCAGTGGGCATAGAGTGGGCCCAGGCAGCACTTTGGTCGTAAAGGTCATCTCTACAGTTGTTGCCTGCAATGGAAGAAAGCCCAGTGACTCCCCTGTGCTGACCCACCCTGCTACTCCTCACGCCCTGCTCTGCACCTGGGCTTGTGCCCAGCTCCTGTCCAGGGCTCCAGTCTCCTCCTGGAAACACTCCCAGAACTTTGGCTTTTCCCCAGAGGGGAGGGCCTGGGCTGCTGCCTCTCCTGCACCAAAGCCCATGCCTCCCGTTGAACAGCTCTTATCAGGACCTAATGGAAATGAAGGAAATGCTTGGCTTCTTCACCAACATTGTCCCCGCTAAACCCATACTTGCCTGGACGCCCCTGCCTCTTCTTCCCCTCCTGGCCCAAACAGGGCCTTCTGGGTGATGGGTCCTCACCCAGCCAGTACTCACCACAAGCAGCAGCTTCTCAACGCACTCGGGCACCACATTGTGAAGGTGGCTAAGGTGGAAGTGCAAGGCAGGTCGGCCCACCAGCTGCTCCTGGCACAGCGGACACCTGTACTTGGGCTGCACTGCATGCTGGGAGAGGGTGTGAGCCCTCACCTGTTCGGGCTCAGGGCTCAGGAAGCTGCAGTATGGACAGCAGAATACCTGGGGGCACATGGGTTGGGGAGGAGGTGTCAGAGAAGGATGGGGCCCACCATCACCCAGCCCTTTGTGTTCTTGGACACAGCGTGATCCCCCACTCCCAATTTAGGAGTGAGCCGCATTCAGAGGCATCAAGGCATCACCACGGATCCAGCCAGAAGCAAGAAGCTGGCTCCTCCCTCATTTCCCTTCCACTGGGACAAAGGCCTAGGCTAGACTTTCCCCTTGCCTGCCTTCTTTGTCCGGCCCTCTCCCTCCATGCTGGCCTGTCTTTCCTTGGTCTTTGCCTCTCTCTGCTGCCTTGCCTAGTACTCCAGCTACAGTATGACCCTGTACCTATCTCCCCGGGATTTAGTTTTCTTACCCACCCACACCCTGCCCGTGTCTTCCCTGTGAGATGGCGCCCCTGCCCTCTGGCACATCTGGACCCAGAGGCTCCTTTATCCCTGCCCACTCTGCCTCCCCAAGGTCCCTAACCTGAGTGTCTCCTGAAGAGGGGCCCTCCCTACCTGTCTGCTCAGAAGCCGGCTCATCTCCCAGCGGCTCAGCAGCTCCCACTTTCTTTTCCTTTTCCCCTTCTTAATGGAAAACAAATGCCACAGCTCCCCCAGCGGCCCAGGAAAATTCTGTCCTGCTCTGCAGGCACATTCTCGCCCACACCTCTAGAGGGGTGGGGCCAAGGGAAGGCCCTGTCTCCACCTTCGTCACCTGACTGCCTGACCTCCAGCCTATCTTCATCTCCCTGGCTCAGTTCCTCTCCTGCCCCCTGTGCCACTGGTCCAGGCCTGCATACTGGGACAGGATGGCCATAAAGGAAGGGCATCCAGATGCTCATTTTAATGCACTTGGCCCTCGGAACAGACATCTGGAATCGGTCTGCAGGAGAAAACAGGAGTGAGGAGGGTCTGGCCAGCACTGCTTCAGTCTGTGGGAATGTAGTAATCCTGCCTGTTGAGGTCCCATTTGGAGAGCTGTGAGGGAGGGGCAGCATGGAGCCTCAGGGACCCAGTCTGGGAGTCCCCTCAGAATCCACACTCTCCGGCCACAAAGCTAAAACACACAGGTCCTGCCTAGGCCAGGCAGAGGCCCAAGGCTGGGAAACTTGGAGAGCTTCAGGGTTTGCTATTTGGGTCAGTCATCTGGGCTGGGGCCTCTACCCTCAGGAAGGAGGTGCCCAGATGGTTCCATGCAAGCTTAGAGCCTTCTGCAGGAGATGACCATCCGTGTCTAGTTGTCTTTCTGCTCCTGACAGGAATAGAGAGCTGGGCAGCAGGCTAGCCTTTTGGTTTGGGCTTTCTCTTTTCATTTCTTCACTTTTGTCTTCCCTCCTCCCCTCCTTCCACCTGCTTCCAGCTTTTCCTACCTTGGGACAGCTTCTGTCTTCACTTTTCCCTCAACTCCTGCCCTCCCTTCTTGTCTTCTCCCTCTGTGCTCCACCCCTGGGGCCAGCTCTGCTCCCTGTATGGTGCTAAACATATAACTGGCCCTAGGTGGCATCTCTTAATGTGTTTTGAGACAAGTCACAAGCATGACAAAACTAGGTCTGCCATTAGTCTGAAATCTGGCTGTAAAGCTCTACTGATAAGAATTTCAGGCTTTAGAATATGAACAAGTTTCAGTAAAACCAGGCCCTGCCGGCCCGCTGGCGGAGCCCAGCTATTCCCAGTTACCCCAGTTCTGACCGTGGTCTGGTTGGCACTGTCTCCTCGAGAGCCAGACTTGTTCTCGACCTCTTCAGAAGCTGAAAGGAGAAGAGATTAAGAGACTCTGACAGCCTTCCCTCTTTCTTTCCAGACCCCCAGCCCTTAAGATTACCTGATTTGTAGCAAAGAGCCTCCAGGGTAGGGGGCTGGGCTGGGGGGAAAGGGCAGGAAAGCACAAAGCTGTACACAGTACAGGGAAAGGAGGCCCAGCAGGGCTGATCCCAGGTTAGCGGGATGGCCAGATTTAAGCCTTTTGTGGCTCCCCCCTCCTTTCCCTCTGATGAGCCCTTTCTTGTATCAGTTTGGCTCCATGCACCTAGGAGGCCTCACTGGGCAGCTGGATTACTGCAGAATCCCATGTACACCTCAGAATGTATGAGGATGGGGCGGAGGGTGGGGGACAAGGGGCAGGGATAGAGGGAAAATGGACCAGATGAGCAACTCACCCAATTGCTCTGTCTTGTTCTGAGCGTCTTTTTCAGGGGTGGGCAGCTCAGCTAAGGGGGTGACAGGAGGCTTCCCTGTGTGGGATGAGGGGAGAGCCAACTTAAAAGAGTGAAGCATCAGGAAAGGGAGGACATAGGGCAGAGGAAGCAGGACACGCAGCCAGGAGAAGGAGAAAATGGATGGATGAGTCAAAAAGCTGCCAAAAAGAAACGGATGACAAAGAAGTGACAGGGTTGGAGCTGGGAGAGCCTAAGAGATTAACTCTTAAGTACCCAGCCCCCATCATTTAAAGATGAGGAAACAAGTCTGGCCATAGACAGCAGAGACAGGCCAACTGGGCTCCCTGCCTACTGGTCCCAGAAACAGGGAGCCCAGAGACATAAAGGGAGGGGCACTGAAGAAGGAAAGTGAAGTTGAGTGGAGGCAGGTGCGGCAAGCAGGAGGCGGCAGGTCTAGCTGGGAGAGGAGATTACCACTCAAGTAAGAATTGACAGATGTGTAGGAATTTATTTTCGGTGGCAGCCTAATTAAAGTGTTAAAGTTCCTTAACTCCATTCAGCCCTGCGCCAGGATCATTAGCTATTGATCTGGGCCCCTCCGGCACTTAACTCCAGCCAGCATATTGGCAATTCAATTAGCACCAGTCAATGCTGCCTGTTCCTGGTTCCTGCTGCCCGTACCCTCACCCTCGCCCACCACCAGCCCCTACAAAGCCCCGATGCCCATGCCCACCTCTGACAGCCCCTTCCAGGCTCTTCTCCTGCACCCTCTGGATCAATGACGCCTGGCGGGCTGTTCCTGGTCTCTGCTGGTACAACCTCAGCTGCCTAAGGGGGACCCTAAGCCCAGCCTTCGGGCTGAAGACCTCCTAGGAGACAGGAAGAGGCTGGGGAACTTGTCAAGGGCTTCCTATCCCTGCAACCTTCGGGCCAGGCCCACAGCTCCCATCTTCTTCTGACATACCCTGACCCAGCACGAAGTGGATTCCATTCTTCTGCTTTTCTAGTTCTCTCCTTCCTGACCAGCTCCTGCCGCTCCCCACACCCAGTGTTGCTGGGACGCTGGTCACGATTCGGAATCAGCGGGTGATTCCTCCTCATCTGCTTTCCTGTTCTCTGCTTTCCACCCAGCAAAACCCTTGCCCTTCACTGCCTCCTCCCTCCAGCAGCCTCTTGCTCCTTGCTTCACTGGGCAGCCTCACTCTTCCCCAAGTCCGGTTTTATCTCCCCTTCACAGCTGGCCCCTTCCCACTTGCTCTTGACTGCCCACAGACCCGTTTCTCCTCACTGGTATCACCTCACCACCCCCAGCTCCCACACCTGCTGCCCGCCCTGCCCCGTCCCCTCTTCCTCACCGGGAGTCCGGAGCTGCCCATGGCTGAAGCTCAGGATGCTCTGAAGAGCCGAGAGCCCTTCCTCGGCTGCAGGGCCACTCTGCAGCAGCTGCAGACGCCGCTGGGCCTGGGCGTCGCGGTGGGCCGGTGCACGTAGGTGCTGCAGCACAGCCAGGCGGGAGGGGGTCTCCCAGGCACACAGCAGGCAGCGGAACAGCCCCAGCTCAGCCCCTGCCGCGGCCCCCTCCATCTCCAGCAAAAACTGGAAGCACAGAAAGAGGATGCTCAGGCCCAGAAGGGACAGACACCTTGAGATCTCACCTCCCCCAAGGGAGCCTGACCAGCAGCAGCCCCTCCCTACCCATCCCTTCCACCCTCTTCAGCCCCCTCCCCTTTCCCTCCCATGGCCACCTGAATATTACTGCCTTTTCTCCCCTGTCTCCTTCTCTTCCTCCTACTAATCCTGGACTCCACCCTAGTAGGTGAATGGAATCTGGTTCCAACCTCTTGAACGGATGACAAGAGGGCCTGAGCAGACACTCCCCTCCAGTCCCGAACATCAGAAAAGCCGAATAAAGTACTGGATTCATTTTATCAGAGTCCACCATCCTTTGGCCTCCCCTCCACGACTATCTCCAAAAAGTTGATTATCCCAGTACATACTTGCCACTGTATCCACTCCTGGGTCTTCCCATCGCTCTCCCACTCGGCATCTCTTTGATACGTCCCCATGCCCTTCTCTTCTCTCCCCCCAGAGGCTCTGTGCTGCTCCCCTCAAGTCCCAGAGGCTCCCTGCCCCACTCTCACCTTATAGATCTGGCTATTTTCTTCATGGGCTGCGCCCCGGGCGTGCAGCTGCATCTTCTCCTTGCTGTTGGACTCAAAGTCACAGATGTTGCAGCGCAGGTGCAAGGGGGGAACGGAGCCATAAGGAGCCCCATCTCCCAGGGGCACTGGGGAGGGGGTGCCCACGGCCCCACCCCCCTCCCTCAGGTGGGCTGCCAGCTGGTACTTTTGAGCATGTTTGTCAGTCTTGAGGTGGAGTTGAAAGTTGGCCTTGAGCTGAGTGCCATAGCAGCAGAGCTTGCAGCGGTGGGTGTCACCGGCCACCTCCTTCCATTCAGCCTCCGGGAGGCTTCGGCCCACGCTGCAGTGGTAGAGCAGCAGCTCCAGGTTGTCTGTGCTGAAGGCCTGGCACACTAGGCAGCGGAACACCTTCAGGGACGGGCTGTCATCTGGGGGTGGTGAGGTGGGCAGGCTGTCAGACAAGGAACCCAGGAGCTGACTTGGAGGCAGGTGGGTGTCCGGGGAGAGGCTGCCAGGGGCTGGGGGACAGAAGCAGGTTAGAGGCCCAAGGAAGGAATGGGGCAGTTGGGTAAATGGGGATAGCACCGAGGGAGCTGGGGTTACCCAGTGGGGGGCTGGCCCTTAGGAGGGAGCAGAGGCTCGAGTCTGGCCCTGGGGAAGGGAGAAGGGGAAACAGGTGCAGACCCCAGGCTGCTTACCTGGTGGGGGGAACTTGCGAGCAGGCGCTCCGAGGTGGTGGAAGCCGTTGAGAAGCAGCTGGGCTTCCAGGGGCTTGTCTGGCCTCAGCCCGGGGCCAGGCAAGGGAGCCTGAGGCTGCCCCAGGGCCTGCGGTCCGAAGTACTGGAAGAGCTCAGGGGGGGTGGCAGGGGCAGCTCCTGCGGGGGGCGGGGGCCCCGGCCCTACCAGTCCAGGCGGCAGGCCCAGCGGCAGCCCCTGGTGCAGCATGAGGACATTCTGCATGTGCTTCTCAGAGGTCATGTGGATGCGCAGGTTGCGGGAGATGTTGGTCTCGTAGCTGCACACCTTGCACTGCCAGGATGATTTGGTCTTGGGCTCCTTGTCCCCGGCAGAGGATGGGAGTGGCGCCTCCGGGGGGCTGCCCTGCCCACCGGGGCCTGCCTGGAAGCCCTGCAGGTTGGCCAGGTGCTTGTCAGACTGCATGTGGATGCTGAGGTTGCCCTTGGTGGTGGTGGAGTAGTTGCAGACATCGCAGCGGTAGGGCTTGTAGCCACAGTTGTAGCTCTCTCCACGGGCGAGGCGGGGGTGGGCGCCCCCGGCGCTGCAGTAGCTGCAGTGGCTATTGCTCTCAGGGTGCTTTTCCCGCATGTGCACATCCAGGGTCTGCTGGTACTTGTAGTGCCAGTTGCACTTGGGACACTTGAGCGTCTTGCAGGAGTTGCGAGAGTGTAACAGAGACATGTGGCTGGACAGGCTGAGGCCCTGGAAGGCCGCAGGGGCTGGGGTGTAGTCTTCAGCTAGGCGGTAGGGCTGGGGTGGGTCGCTGGGGTCTTCGGGGGAGCCGACTGGGGCAGAGAGAGTGCCCCCCTCCTTAGAGGCAGGTGAGCTTTGGTTCATTGGGGGGCAGAGCCCTCCCTCCTCTTCTTGCCCCTCCGGGAACCAATCTGGCCCTGCCTCGCCAGCTGCCATTGGCGATTCTTTGGCTTGGGTTGGGCTGGGGTCCCAGGTGGCGGGAGTTGTTGCGGGGGAGGGTGGGCTAAGTGCCCTGACTTCTTCCGCAGGCAGGACAGGAGCTTCTGCCTCAGGGGGACCATCCTCAGTCTGGGCTACATTGGCCTCTGTGTTCACCATGCTGCTATTATCAAGGGGCATTTCTAAAGGGGGGCGAGCAGGTGGTTTTGGTTCCAGAAAGCTTAGGAGGGCCATGCGGCCCTCATCTCCCACCTGAAGCACAGCTGCATTACTGGGCAGGCCCAGATGTTGAACAGGGGTTAGCTTCACCCCATGAGACTGTGTGTGACCCATAAAGGCCTGGGCCCTGCTGAAACCCAGGCGGCACAGGAGGCAGAGCCAGAAGAGTGCCCTGTGGTCTCCTCCCCTGCTCCCCATAGGGCCATCTTTGGGATCTCCGGGTGGGTTTGGAGCCAGCTGGTAGCTCCAGAAGGCTCCATCCCTTCCCTCACAGGTGGCCGGAGATGGCGCTGAGGTATCATGGGACAGAATTTGGTCAGAAGAGCTAAAGCCTTGGATTGGGTCAAAGCCATGTTGGATGTGAAGGGCAGTGAGGTGTGCAGAGGGTAGGTGGGCAAGGAGGGGCAAGCTGGGCTCCTCCTTGATTCCCACCTCGCCCCAGGGGAAGCCCTTTGGTAACAGGAGTTCACTGCCACCTGACAGGGACAGCTTGGCTACTAGGTAGGCCTCACCACCAGCTGTGAAGAATAAATGGTTGCTTAGGTCCACGGGAGGGAACCCTCCTCCTTCCTCCTCCTGCTCCTTGTCCTCTTGCACTCCTAGGTCCTTTGGTGAGAAGCCACCACAGCCAGCCTCTTCTCGGGGCTCCCCAGTCTCCTTTGGTGGGACGAGGCCACAGCCCGACTCCAGGGCCTGTCCCCCTGGCTCTGAGGGCCTCATGCTCTCAGAGGTGGAGGGGGCAGCAGGGGGATCTTTGGTGACAGGATCAGCGGGGGTGCCAGGGGGGGAGGTGTCCGGAGGCGGAGACGGGGCATTGTGTCCAGGGGTGGGGGTGGTGCCAGTGGTAGAGGATGAGTTAAGGGTGGCCATGGCAGACGGAGGAGTGCCGGGGGTTCATTTCAGCGTGACGGCAAGTACCCTGGGGGGAAACATGGAGAGAGCAGGGCTGTGAGGTGGCAGGAGACACCCAGACAGGCCCTTGACTCTCCAGGTACTCCAGCCCCATTCTCTTCCCTGAGCACCAGACTCAGCTACCCACCTGCCAACCTGAAGCTTCACCTTAGTGCTAACACACTTCAAACATAACATGTCCAAAATCAGAACTCTCTATTTCTCCCCCCGAACTCGTTCTTCCCATCTTCTCTATCTCAAAACTTGGGACCACCATTTATCTGGTTGCTAGGCTAAAAACCTAGAAGCTTCCTCTTGCCCGCTCCCCACATACAACAGGACAGCAACCTCTCAGACAGGCGTCCTATCCCTCCGCTAGCATCGTCTCCAGTAGCATCAGCGTCGCCCCAGCCATGGTCTTTCCTGAACCAGTGTGCCGAGCTCCACGGCGGCTTCCGTTTCCACTGCTGCCCCTACAGCCCAGTCTCCTTCCATCCAGCCGCCAGAATGACCTTTCATTTAATTCTCAATTATGAAAAATGCCAGACCTATATAAAAGTAGACCAAATAACATAAGGTACCCCTTTGTACTCATGACTCAGTTTCAACAGCCACCAACACATGGCCGATCTTGGTTCATCCATATCTTTACCCACTTTCCCTTTTCCTGTATTGTTTTAAAGCAAATTTCAGGTATCTTAAACATCTTTTAAAAGGTAAATTGTGGGGCGCCTGGGTGGCTCAGTCGCTTAAGCGTCCGTGACTCAGGTCATGATCTCACGGTCCGTGAGTTTGAGCCCCGCATCAGGCTCTGTGCTGACAGCTCAGAGCCTGGAGCCTGCTTTGGGCTCTGTGTCTCCTTCTCTCTCTGCCTCTCTGCCTCTCATGCTCTCTCTCTCTTTCAAAAATAAACAAACATTAAAAAAATTCTTTAAAAAAAAGGTAAACTGTAGGGTGCCTGGGTGACTTAGTCGTTTAGGTGTCTGACTCTTGATTTCAGCTCAGATCATGATTTCGTGGTTTGTGAGATCTAGCCCCACATCAGGCTCTGTGCTGACACTGCGGAGCCTGCTTGGGATTCTCTCTCTATCCCTCCCCTCGCTCTCTCATAAATAAATAAACCAAAAAAAAAAAAAAATGTCAATTGTACTATATCCTTAAGAACCCATCCGTGATTTCTCACTGTACAATGAATAAGATCCAAAAGGATTCTGATCTACAAAAGGATCTATCTGATCTGATGCCGGCCTACTTCTGACACATCTTAATACTCTCCACCCTGCCTGGCTGGCTGCCTCCAGCCCACTGGCCGCCTTTTCTTCAAACACACCAAGTCCATTCCCACCTTAGGGCCTTGCCTAAGCTAAACAGCTTACTCCGTCAGCCAGGAAGACTCTTCCCCAGACCTCTGCATGGCAAATTCTCATTCAGGTGTCTGCTTAAATATCACCTTTTCCAACAGGCTTTCCCTTCCTATGGAAGCTAACATGCTCCGGGGGGTTACTTTCTTCAGAGATTTCTCACCACCTGATATTTCCTGGTTTACTTACTTCTCCCTTCTAGACGGTAAGTTCCATGAGAGTAGGAACCCTACTTTCTCTATCATTAGCACCAAGAAAAATGCCCGCCACACAGTCAGTACATGTGTGTTGAATGAACTCTAGGAAAGACCCTCAGATTTTCCACTCACTGAAGGGGTAGTTTCCCTAAGTCAAGGTCCTCGAGCCAGAGAGGCCACAGTGAATTTCTGCTGGCCTGCAGGCCCGGTGCTGCTCTCACAGATGCCCTCCAGAGCCATCTCTGGTCACAAGCATGTGAAATAGGCGGAGGCTTCCCTGGCCAGTTGGAAGACAACCGATTCTATGTGATTAGCTTCCTCCCCCACAAAGAGATTAAAAAAAATAATAACAGTAATATTACTAAAAGCTATTAAGGTACATATGCCATGGTCCTGGCACTGTGCTAAATGCTTTCATCAATTATTTCATTTAATCTTATTTTGCAGATGAGGCAGCCAAGAAACAGGTTGAGTGAGCTGCTAACTGTCGCACAACTCCAAAGGAGGGGAAACCAGAGGACTGGTGGGGCACAGAGACCTGGGCCCTCCATCTACCTGGATCATCCCTCAGACCCAGGAAAGGCCAAATGAGCCTCCAGAGGTCTAGCAGTCAGAATTCCGGGGCTCCCTCCAGCTACTAGAAACGCCAGGCCTCCCACGCTGTTCCCAGCCTTTTTACCTTGATTACCACACCTTCCTCCCCGTCCGCAACCCCCCCCACCCCGCTTCCCGTCCCCACCAAACTCACCAGTTCCCCATGCTTCACCATCCCATACTTTTCCCAATGTCCCAAGTGGTTTGCATCCACTCCAGGTCTTAATTATCAGCCAATCTCTAATGATTAAACCTTTAGCGTTCAAGCCCATGCTTCCAGAAGGGATGTGGTCTCTCCTTCCTTCCTTGGGCCACCTCTAACGCTCACCTTCAGATTCTTTGATTAGGAATGGGTCTTTGGCCTGGCCCCACCCAGCCTGCAGGCCCCCTTTCCCACTTCCCCCCCTCCTCCTAGGGGGCTAGCCAGGCGTGAAGTCAGAGCCATTAAGTAGCTCCACGTGGGGCTGGATCAGCATGCTAATGAAATGCAAATCAGCACCTGGGCAAGGGGTGGAGGGCTGAGGGGTGGGGGGAGGTAGCTGGAGAACCGGGAGGAAAGTAAAGGTATTAGATGGAGGGGTTATCCTAGATAACCAGAAAGCAGAAGCCCGAAACTGGGAGAAAGGTGTCTCTCCTACGGAATCCTTGGGGGTAGGGGGTAAAAGCGCTGGATCACGAGGGTCTGACAGTCCACTGTTACCCCTCACAGTGGGGGCCCACCACCCTTTTGCTGCCCCACCTGGTGGGAAGAAGTGAGGCTGGGCAAGCCGGGCTTCTCCCGGGCCCTGCCACCGAGGCCTGACCCGGGTGGTGCTTCATCCCCGCTGGGCCACCGCGCCTACATCACATCGATCAGCTGCTTCCTCCTGGCTCTTGATTCACAACTCCAGATCTAACTTCAGAGGAGGTGCTAGAACGACCTAAGCCCCAAATCCTCTCTCCAAAGCTTCTACTTCCCCAGGACTGGAAAAAGACCCAGCTGATTCTTAGTTAGAAACCAAAAGAGTTTAGCTCTGGGCTAGCTCGTGGGTGAGACCCAGACCGCCAAGGGTAGGTCGGCAGCTGTTTAAAATTGCAAATCTCTTCCCCACCTCCCTCCTCCTCCTCTACAGGAAAGAATTTCAATTGCAAATTTATCTCTGCCTCAGTGCACCCCCCCCAGCTCCCCCCCTTTTCTTCTCCACGCTTCTCCCATCACCCTCTATTTATTACAAACCTTTAACTGCAGCAATGATTTTTTTTTTCACCTTTTCTTTCCTCCTTCCATTTCCCTCCTCCTCAATCTTTTCCTCCTTCCCTCTCTGAATCTCTGTGTCCCTCTCTTTGCCCTTCCTACCTTGAACTCAGTTTTCAGCTCTTTCTGGAGATGATGCAGAGCCGGATGACAGACCAAGTCACCCTCCACCTACCACCTCCAGGCCAAGAGTCCTGTTCACCCTCAGACCACTGCCATTCCTCCTGTAGTTCCGGGCTTTCCTTAAGGGCGTCTCCTCTCCCTTGGGGCACATCTCAGAGGTGGGGAAGGGGAGAAGGCCACCCTCAAGGGCCCTGGCACTCCCGCCTCTGGGGAAGGGAGGGAGGAAGAGGGCGGTCCAGGTGTAAGGTGGACGTGGGGGGACAGTCAAAGGAGAGGTGGCTGCAAGGGCTGGGGCCCAGGAGGAGAGGGGTTAGGGGAGACAGCAGGCAGTGGCGGCGGTGTGATTAGAGCGGAGATTGATGTGAAGGGGCGCCACAGACGGCAGAGAGAGTCAATAAAACGAGAGGATCACATTAGAGGCGACAGAGAGAGCTTTAAATTACAAGGCTGCTGCCACCGAGGGGGATGGGAGGAGGCAGGCCTGGAGCCAAGGGAGGGTGGAGAGTTCTGAGGGTGTAGTCATCCCCTGAGATGAATCTTCCAGCTCCAAAATGGCTCAGTCTCCAGAGCTCCCCTGCTGCCCCTTCATTCCATTTCCATCCTTAATGTTTCCTTCCCTCACAGGGGGAGGAGAGGAGTAAGGGGAAGATGGAGAGAAAGCTATGGAGGAATAGAAGAGTTTGTGTGTGTGTGTGTGTGTGTGTGTGTATGTGTGTGTGTTGTTTTGTTTTGTTTTACTATTGCCCTCTTCCTCTTTCCAGAGCCGGGTCCATGGTTATTGCTCAGGATGAGAAGGGAAGGCTGGAAGTGCTACTTTCAAAGCTCAGCTAGGGAGGAGTTGCCCCCCAAACATAATCACTGAACTGCAAACATTGTTCCATGGGAGGTGTGCAGAAATGCACCCAGTAAATAGCTGGACAAGAATTCCTCCTTCTTGACAAATGCTCCCTATTCGGGGGGCAGATCCACCGTGCTTAAAACAGGAAGAAGCCGGGGAGCTGGGAGGCTCCAAGACGGACAGTAGACCCAGAAAGCTACCGAGAGAGAGAAAGATGTTAAGAGATGGACTGAAAGGCTTGGATATGAAGTTACGGACGTCTGAAAAGGTGGGCTCTGAGACCGCACAAGGCAGGGAGAACACAGTGAGGCACAAGAGCCAAAGGAGCAAGGGCAAAGGAAGGACCGAAGAAACGCGGCTGGAGGACAGAGAGACTCTATCCCTCCCCGAGGAGGAACTTGGGCACGGATGCAGCAAATGGAGGCAAAGCCAGCGACGGGAGCTCCCGTCTGGAGCCCGGCAAGACCAGGGCTACCCTTGGATGGCGCCCCCTTCCGCCCCAAGCAAGCCACCGAGAGGAGAAGAAACACTACTGCTCCCTAGTGGTTATGGGAGGAACATCACCAAGGAGAAAACATGCCAGGCCGGGCGAACAGATTGCCTTTCTCTTCCCCACTCCTCTCCTTAAACCAGAATCCCACTTAAAGCAAAATCCCACTCCCTTCTTTTCTCCAGACGCAAGGACATGGCAAAGACCTTCCCAGAAAGTCTACCAGATGCCACCAGCACATTTGCTTAAAATTTGCATACAATGATTTCCACATCAGAGCCTTCCAAACAGTTTTGCCTTTCACTTTTCCAACTGTTGGATCTATCCCCTCTCCCTTACTGAAGAGTCCATTTTTAGGACCTTTCCTCTTCTTCCTCTCTCTGAAATTCTTGCCTAGGGCACTGCCCTCTTCCACACTCATTTTGCCTCTTGCCCCTTTTTGTCTCAACCTGTTGCTTTTAAGAGGCAGAAGCCTTGGAGAAGAGGGGAAAAGAAAAAGGAAATATAGAGTGCCCTGCCTAACAGGGATTGTTTGGTATAGACAATAAACTCTAACTTGATGAGCTTGATTTTTAAAGCAGTGTAAGAACATGGGCTATGGATTCATGCAGCCCCAGGTTCAGTGCTGGGCTGCTTCCCCCACTCACCAGCTATGCAACCTTGGTAAGTTACTTGCAACCTGGGAAAATGGGAAGAATGATCCCTTCCTTCCTGGCCTTCTGGGTGATCAGTCAGGCTGGTTCTTTTCCTTCTCTCTTGGCTAGCTCCTCCCACAGAGCAGAGTGAGGTGTTCCCAGGTGGGTGACAACTTTCCTTCTGCTTCGCTCCTTCTTGACCAGGACTCATCCTCTAATTTCTGCCCTTTTCAAAAACGGAGGGGAGAGTCTTCAGTGGCCAGGATTTAAAGCTAAGTCTGCCCAGCAGCAGAGTTCATTTCTCACTTGGCCCTCTCGATTGCCAGGCCTCGAGACACCCCATCATCCGAGAGCAGAGAATGGAAGCCTTGCCCAGGCTCACAGTTGGACTGGGTGCAAAAGCGGTTAATACCTGGATCAAAACTATATGGCCACTCCCTTCATTTAAAACTATCATTTTCTCAGGGCGCCTGGATGGTTCAGTCAATTAAATGTCCAACTCTTGAGTGTGTGGGTTCCTTGCTGACAGTGTGATGCCTGCTTGGGATTCTCTCTCTCTGCCCCCTCCCCTGCTCTCTCTCGCTCTCTCAAAATAAACAAATAAACTATCATTTTCCCCCTCACACTCCCCCCCCAAAAAAAACCGAAAAACACTATCATTTTCTATCTCTAAATCTTCCCTTCCTATTCAAAAGGAAACAAGAGGTACTCCTATTCCTCCATTCTTTTTTTTCATATTTCAAGTTTTTATTTAAATTCTAGTAAATAACAGAGGCGCCTGGGTGGCTCCATCGGTTGGGCGTCCGATCAGCTCAGGTCATGATCCCACAGTTTGTGGGTTCAAGCCCCATGTCAGGCTCTGTGCTGACAGCTCAGAGCCTGGAGCTTGCTTCGGATTCTGTCTCTCTCTCTCTCTCTCTCTGCTCTTCCCCCACTCATGCTCTGTCTCTCTCAAAAATAAAAAAATAAACATAAAAAATTAAAAAAAAATAAATTCTAGTAAATAACATATTGTAATATTAGTTTCAGCAGTACCTATTCCACCATTTCAATCCTACCTACCTCTCCTAGACCTCTCCATCTCCCCCCACCCCAAATATTTGGGAGTGTTTACTTTGTGAAATATGTCCAAAAGACAGAAAATGAGAGTTGGCAGGGAATGAAGCACTTAGGCAGGAGAAGGTGTGTCATAGAGGGTAAAGAAAGAGACAGCTAAGGTAGAGAGGAAGAGGGAAGAAGAAGGGAGGGAAAGGGAGAGGCAGGGAAGTTGGGGGATGGGGCCAAATCTTGATCCACAAGTGTGATTATTGAATCTCATGGAGGCCTCCCGGCTTTGGCATCAGATTGGGCAGGTGGCCTGTCCCCAGTGAGAGGGATGGAGCCCGGGAACTGTGTCTTACACCTTGCAAGATGCTTCAGGTGGGCATAATGGAACTAGGTGAGATGTGAGGAGAAAGCAGAGGCAGAGAGGAGGAAGATGGGGATAGGCTGGGAGCAGACGGGTCAAAGGGAAGCCGTGGACTAAAATCACAACCAGCTAGTGGAACATCCATCCACATTTGCATGACTTTGTTGAGTGGGCTGCAGGGTGTCTGCTGCTGGAGGGGTGGACATGCTGGAGAGGAGTGGATCCTCTTGCCCATGCATCTCCTTTAATGACACCACAAGGATTAGGACAGCTGTGTGGAGCTGTGTGATCTTGTAGGTGCCCCTGGGAGACTCAGGCTCGGACAACTCCACAAAGCCAGCTCTGAACCCTTTTATATGAGGGCAGGGAGTAGTGTTCTTGAGTTCAGATTCAGGAACCTATCTGCTCCTGGCATAGAGGACCTCTGTAGAAGGTCCCTGCACTTGAAAGGAATTACACACAATTCTTTAGAATTAATAGAAAGAATACCGTTGTAATATAAATAAAACCTTCTGATTCTTGGAGTCTACGTGAACCTTGTCATAGTAATGGCTCCATTTAAATAGTGTTACAACAAGACAACTAATAATAATAGTATCCTTAAATGTTTACCATGTGCCAGCACTGTGCCAAGCCCTGGAAATTGCATCCCCTAATTCTCCACTACAATCTGATGAAATAGATACAGCCATTCATCCCCATTTTACAAACATGGAAACAGACATTGATGGGGAAAGGAATTTTCAAGGTTTCACACCTGGAAAGATGTGGAGTCTAGACTGGACTCCCGTAGCCTGACCCCAGCACTCGGCTCTTGGGTTAATTTGTTAGCTTCTGAACTCTGGCTGCTGTGCATTTTGAATAAGGTCTTTGAGGTTTTTGTGTGTTACTCTGTCCTATGTGTGTCCCCTTGAGCATATAAGCTGTCAGGCTCCTCTTTGAGCTTGAAGGTGTTAGATGGCTGCTCTCAGTTTCTTAGTAAAAGATGAGCCAGAACAGGACCACTGCTTTGTGCAACTCCAGGGGGTGCTATTCACATTGCAGTCAGTGAGGGGCTCTGGCCATTCCTTTTGTGTGTTTGTGTTTGGGGGGTGGCTGGAGATAGAAATCAAAAGGTAGGGGATATGCGTATTAATTTGTGATAATGTCTCCTAAAGCTGGAGGTCTACACATATGCATCCATAATAACATATGAGCTTCAAGACAAGCAGCAGAGCATTCTTGTAGAACTTGGCCTTTAGGGTCAGACAGACCTGGAATCAAATTTTAGTTATCTGCATTATGTAAATGACCTCAGGTGGGTTGCTTAAAAACTGTTTCTTCGTATACAGAATGGGGAATAGTTCCTCATGGAGTGGTGTCCGTTGAGATGATCATTATCCAGGCCAGCACTTTGGGATCAATAAATAGAAACGGTAATAATTCACTCACGTGCCTTATTTCCTGAGTTGGGGTGTACGTGTGTGTTCACTGCTTTCTGATTGCGTGCGTGGCTGAGGGCGTAGGTGTCTGTCCCGGCACACCTTCGGGGTTCGTGAAGGCGCTAGCTGTCAGACCTCCAGCTGGGACTGGGTCTCCCCAGGCCCTAGTTCTTGCCCGCGTGGGCCCGGGGCTGCTCGCTGGGCCGCGGGCGGCGGGGCTGCCCGGTGCGGGTGTGTTGCCGCGTGCCTGTTTGTGCTCGGCGGCCCGGCTGGCGCGGGCGTGTTTGGGGTGGTGGTAATTACTGGGATGGCCCGGCCCTAATGAGTATGATCCCGTTACACTCTCGCCGCCTCTAATGGAGCTAACCTCATTTCACAGCCATTAGAGATGGAGATGAGGCCCCGCCCACTGGCCCCGCCAGCTGCAGCTCCCGCAGCCCCGGCCACGTTCTTTCCCTCCGGCTCGCCATTTCCCGTTGCCAGCTCTCCTTCTCCCGCCCGGTCTTCTGCTCCTCCTTCCAGGCTTCCCTGCCCTGTTCTCCATTGTTCTTTTCCCTCCCATCTTGCCGCCGCTCTCTCCTCTCCCCTACTCTTGGCGCGTCCCCTTCCCTCGGCCTCCTCCCTGCCTGAGTTCCTCCTCCTCGCTCGGGTCCGCTCGGCCCCCGCGTCTCCACTCGGCCCCCGCGTCTCCACTTCCCGGTCCTCTCCTCCGCGCCCCTCCCCCGCCCTTCCCCGCCGATGGCCCTCCCCTCCCCCACGTTGCCCCGTCTGGCCAGAGGACAAATCTCAAGGGGAAACCAGCAAAGACAAACAAGGAGCAGTGACTTCATTATCGTCGTTAATTTGCCACTTCAGTTCCTCCCACAAGGGTCAAAGCCAGCACGGCTTGAACTCAGGACTGCCACAGAGGCTGAGCCAGAGCTGCCTTTTCCGCCTGAAGCCTCTCCCCAGCCACTCTCCCTCCCTCCTCCTCCCCACAGCCTTCGTTTCCCGGCAGGGGGTCAGGCTCCCGGTTTTGCTCTTCCCATTTCTTTACCCGGCCGCGCAGTCTACCGCCCTCCTTTCTTTTTCATTTAAATTGTGGCCTTCACGTCGGCTCCAAGTCACATGGTTTTTACCTCGGACTCCCTTCCTCGGTCACACTCAGCCTGCCCCCGCTTCTCCCACTCCTCCCTGCCCTTATCCGTCCCACACTTCCTTTCTTGGCCTGCCCCGGTCTCTCTTCCTAACCTCAAGTGCACTCCTCTCCCGGAAGCACCAGGATTTACCTCTGGGTTTTGAAAATCGGGTAGCTGGGAGAAACAAGATGGAAGAAGGCATTCCGGCCCAAGTAGGCCAGTGGTCCAGAACCTGGAAGTGGCTGGACAGAAAGGAAGACAGTTGCCAGGGGGGCAGACAGGCCCATGAGTCAGAGGAGGTAGCAGAATCTAGATTCAGACACCCCACACCCAAGACACACTGGGCCCCAGAGAAACAACCTCCCAGAGACCAGAGAGAAAAAGGAGGACAGAGCCATAAGACTGAGCTGGGGGGGGGGGGGGGGGTCACTAGCAAAACAAGGACTGAAAATTTTGAGGATAGAAAGGGCATGTATCCCATTCGTTCCTCAGGGAAACCCCATCTAACACTTCTGTCCCACCCTCTGCCTTCCTTCACTGAGAAGCCAAATGACTGGCAATTGACTCTTAACCTTTTGTCCAATCCCAGCCCCAGAGGGAGAGGCTGAGGGTAGCTGGCTGTGACTGGAGGAGGCACTAGGGATATGTCCACACATGAAGTAAAAATTTCTGACCCACACCCATCCTGCCCCACTGCCTGCAGGTCAACACACTACACTGAACTAGACACTGCATACATTTACCTTCTTCTCTGAGAAGAGAGCTCTTGCTACTATGTCCTCCTAATTGCACAGGCGCCTGTGCAAGCACCGTTCCAGTGGATGGCCCTGATGTGACTCCAAGGCTAGAAGCTTAGCTTTAATGTAATCCCTTATTCCTGTCCAAACACAGAGGCCGCTCCTGTTCTCTCACTTGACTTTGAAAGAAAAATTTTAAGGGATACAAAGCTGTGTCAGGAGGAATTAGAAAAAGATGTCTCCTTCCAGGGACATGCAGCCTGCACTTCAGTGGTATAGCTTGGTGACAAAACAGGTGGATCTTAGCCCTGTCCCCTCTTAACTGGGCATCCTGAACGACCTAACAGAGGCCCTGGTCTCTGGACTAGTTCCTACAAGAGGGGGCTACTGAGAACCAATGGGATTACCTCGGGGGGGGGGGGGGGGGGGGGGTGCTAGAAGGCCCTCTAAATCTTTAACCCCTGTCACATGAGCCTGGGGTGGAGGAGGGGTGGGCAGGCAGTCCCCTGGGGCATTCCCCAGAGAGGCAAGGGGCTCTGGGAAAGTGAGTGGTGGGATGACTGAGAAGCCAGAGAAGAAAGATGGAAAAATCAATGAAATGAGTTTCTAACTGTGAGGTAAAGGACCGCCGTGTCGACAGCCTGTCGCCTGCTGCAAAATATGAGCTGCCCAAGTCCATGGTGGCGGCTGACAGTGCACCCAGTCACCACTGCCCTCCCTTCGGGGTGCCCCCCTCCCCAGGACTCTCCAGTCACCCTGGCCTTTCTTATTATAGCCAGATTCTCTCCCCCAGGGCTCCCAGGTTGCTTGCTCCCTTCCAGGTCTTCTTTCCTAGAGTCCCAATCCATTCAGAGTCCTTCTGACTCTTCACCACAGAAACGGGACAGGTTATAATCCCTGACTAGTGCATCTTTCTCTAAACCTTCTGTGTATTGAGACCTCTCTGCAGATTTCATTCAGAGTTGTGGTGAGCTCTGCATCACTTGCCTCCCTCCCCACCTTCCAGATACCTCTGGACTCTTTCAACAGTGAGCAATCAGGCATCAAGGCCATCCCTCACCGGGTTCTTACATCCAGGTCTGTGCCTCCTGCTTGTTGGTCTACTTGGCCAATGCTGACTTCCTTGGAGTTGCCTGGATTGGGACAAGGTGTTTAGGATGGCCCTGGTGTTGCTTTATGAACTCTTTGTCACATGGCGGGAAGGGCAGGGGTATGATGGGTTCAATTGTGGTTTCATGATTGGGAATGCAGTCGGCCCGGGATGCCACTTCCAATTCAAATCCACCCACTCTGTCTTTGGAAACAGCTCCCAACCTTTTCTGGAAACCACCTCCTTTCTCCACCCTCCTCCACATCTTCCTCTTGGGCTCCTAAGATTGTTCATTCATGTTTTCTTCCTATTATCTCTACAAAGATTCCCCGGATCAGACCCTGGAGTCAACCCTCCAAGTGTGGCTGCCCTGAGCTGACTCCGGGTGTGCCCCTGACCTAGTCTCTCCTCTCTCTACCTGAGATCTCAGTGTTGATCAGAAAACTCCCCTCCAGACCTTTCCTTCAGTTTCTACTTTCCCGACTTGCCCACTTATGCAGACTTAGGCCTGAAGGTTGGGGTAAGAGGGAGGTGGGAAACTCTTTTCCCTAGCTTTTCCCTATTATTCAACATTCGATCAACAGATATGAAGCATCTTCTATGTGACAGACGCTGGGCGAGGTGCTGGGAAAACAGTCGGAAAGTAGATGGACAAGGCCCCTGCTCATAAGACCATCATGACTCACCCTGGGTCTCTCACCCAACAGCTTCATCTCTCCAACTTAAAGCAGCCCCAGCCAAATTCCACTGTGCCCGCTGCCATTTCAGAACCCTCCTCTTTATCCCTGCATCAGGTTACATTCACACAGCTCTGATCTCTTCTCTTTGCATTTACAGCTTCAGTCTCCACTCCTAAACCCAGAGCTAGGTTCATCTTACATTTTCAATAACTCTCCTCCCTGCTCATAACGCCCATCTCATGTTCTGTAACTGCCATTTCCAGTTTTCTTCCTTTTTTGCCTGTCTTTCAGTCCTACCACCCAGTCTTCAATGCCCCCTGTCTCCCAAGTTTCCTTCTCTTGCTCCTGCAGGATCTAGTGAACCTTGGGCAATCAAATACAAGATCTCACTCTGAGCTAAGACCCAGGAATCCTACACATCAGACTCAGGCCCCGGCCCCATACGTGTACAGCTCCAGCAAAGCAGCAAGTTCTTCCTCTATGTGTTTCAAGGTAACACCAGCTGCTCTGACATCATGGAGGGAGGAACCCTGTCAGGTTGCCAAGGCAACACCGGCAATTTATGACATCAGAGGCTTGAGATCTTTGGTTCTCAGGGGGCTAGAAAGATTCAAGTTCCTGTCAGGTAAAGTAAATGGGATTTCTACTTTTTTCATCTCTTTGCTTGGGTCCCCCTGGCTTGGGAATGAAATGCAAAGGCCTCTGGTGGGGTAGTGAGGGATGTGCCCAATGGAATGAATGCTCAGAAGCTTCTCTTTCTGTCTCTCTTCACCAGTATCTCTGAGGGTTCTCTGCCTCTCCTTTGGCATCTCTCTCTTGTGGGGCTTCACCCGATGGTATTTCTGCTATGCCTTTTTCCAAATCACCCCTCCTGCAGCGCTTTCTTTGCACCGGTCACGCTGTGTCCCCCTCACACCAGAGGCATTTGTTTCCTTTGATACCTCATCCTCTCCATTTTTCCCCCTACCAAGCTCTGTGCAGCTCTGATCTGCTTCAGCACTCCTCCGCTTGCCTTCCATTTACCTTCTTTGTACCATACTCTTTTTCCACCTCATATTATTCTTCAGTTCCTCCCTTCCCCCACTTTACAATTGTATTCATTGCATATTGCCTTTTCTGTTGACCTCCTCTTGAGGAATATTCTATCATTTCTCTCCATCTTCTCTATCGCTATCAAGTCATGTTTTATTTCATTCTCCCAATCACCCCTCGGTTCCTTCCCTGCCCCCATTCCGCATGGATTTTCTTCCCTTCCTTTTGCACATCCCTCACGTCATGCATTTCTCTACCCCATACATTTATTGCACCCGGCCTCTCCTTCCTTTCTGGAACACTGTTCACCTCGGAAATCTTCCATCTTCTGCCCCTATCTACCTCCTCCTTTTACCCTTCCAAGCTCCAAGGGCTGGAAAACAATGATGGGCTTAACACAAGGTAAACTCCCCAGACTCTTTATCCACCTTTCCCATTCTTTAGGCTGAATGAACCTGGCCTCTTGCACAAGATAGCTTCTGTCATATGAATGAAAACGGCCACATAAAGGATCGTGCTGAATCCAAATATGATAATAACAGGGGGGCCAGGAAGAAGATGAACTAGAAAGTGAAGAAAAAGCCACTGATATCTAGAATGACCTGAAGGATGAGAGGCAACCAAGCAGGGTGGAGTTCAGAGTCCTAGAGAATGTCCCCTTACAAAATCAAAGTTGACAGTTAATGGACATAATGGCCCTGACTGATGAAGGGGTTATATGCCCCTGGAAGCCCATTAAATTGATTTCTTGGCCTGTTTATGTGCCTTCACAAACCATACTCCCTACCTCTCCCAGCCCCTTCCTCTCTGGTACCTTTTGCTGCTGAGGTTAAAATGCTCAGTGAGAGGATAAGGGATAAGAGGGAATTAGGGTGATCAAGGAGAAAAGGTAGGCAGAGGGCAGGTTATGGGAACAAAGGTAAAGAATAGGCAAGGGAGACCACGGGAGATAGGAATGCAAAAAAAGGGGTGAAACAAAATGGGGAAATGAAAAAATATACAATGGCCAAGTGAGGGAAGGGAGGAAATCAAGTCAGCAAGGAAGAGGTTTGCGGTGGGAAGCTCCTGGAGAGGCAGATGACACACAGGAGACCAAAGGTCCTGGTGGGTGAGACAGGCACATGGCAAAGGAGACATTCAACAATGCTAGAAGTTCCAAAGCTTCCCGGGTGAAGGTGGAAGAGGAGTCGGTCCTGGCTGTGCCGAAAGGGTACCTGAGTCCTTGGGAGAAATACATCTGCTCCATCCCTCAGACTCTTTGCAGGCCCCTGACCAGTGACTACCACAACCATAAGCATGAAAAAAGTAGCCTGAGAAGGCCAGAGATATCATAAGGACCCCAAAAGAGAGGGCATGGAGTCCTAGATGGTCCTAGACAGACAAGTCAGGGAGCCAAGGCATGACAGTGACAGGGACACACAGCAAGAGGATCACTCGGATAGGAAGAGTCACATGCGGAGACAGTGACACACAGACCCAGGGATGGATGGGTGGGGAGAATGAATAAGGTGAAAAAAATGACAAAATCAAGAGGCAGGGACACATGGACAGAGATCAGCGGGGCTACAGGCACATCGAGACCACGCGTGGTCCAGCGCTCAAAAATGATAGGATTACTCTGAGAGGGGGGCAGACAAGAGCGCATGGAGAGTTGGGGGGCCAGGAGAGACACACTTCACCTTGAATGGAGCAGTGGCCTCCCCTCACCTACTCGCACCTTTCCAAAAAAAAAGGCAAACAAACAAACAAAAAAAAACCCCAGCTCAACTTCAGGCAAAAACGAAGATCAAGATCGAAGATTAAGAGTATCCATATCCCCTCCCACCCCCCCCCACCCCCACCCCCACCCCCAGCACGCTAGCCCATCCATCAGCCCGTCCGCCTGCCGCGGTTCCCGATCCCGCAGCCGGCGGGGGGCGGCCGAGACCCAGGCCCCTCCGGGCTGACAGTTCCGAACCCTCACTCACCCGGCCTCCCCTTCCCTCCGGGACCCCCGCTACCCGCACACCTCGGCGCGGTCCGTCTAGGCTCTCGTTACCCTCCGTCTGTCCGGCTGGCTCCTGGACCAGCCTCGATGCCTTTCCCTTCGCCGTCTCTCCCTCCACCACTGCATCTCTATCACCCACCCACCACCATCCTCGCTCGCACGCCCCCTCCCCCCTACCCGTGCCCCTCCTCCTCAGGCTCTCGGTCTGTCTGTCCGTCCGTCCGTGTCCCCTCCCCCAGCCCCTTCCCGTCCCTCTCCGTGCCCTCCAGCGGCAGTCTCCGAGTGCCTCCTCTCCCCTCCGTCTTCAGCTTCCAAAGAGCAAGGAAAGGAAGAAGAGAGAGAGGGAGAGGAGAAAAAAACCAACCCAGCAGCATCGGAAATCGATGCACTTACACCTCAGCTGGAAGCAGGGACGGGAGTCGAACCGCGGCCGCCGAGCAGCGCGAGGCGGGGAGGGGAGGGGGCGGCTCTTGGAAGGGACTTCTCCGATGTGTTGATTCCTTTTTTTTTTCCCCTCCTCCTCCCTCCCTCCAGCGCTCACTCCGGGGCGTCGGGGACGGAGATGGAAAAAAATAAATAAATAAATTCACGGCGGTGAGGGAAGTGAAGGAAAATAATCAATGCTATTTGGCTGCGGCTGAAGTGTTTTCCCGGCTTCGTGAGGGGGTTTCCATTGATTCACCCTGGGCACTCGCTCGCTCCCTGCCTCCTCCTCCTCCTCGCCCTCCTCCTCCTCCTCCTCCTCCTCGCCCTCCTCCTCCTCCTCCTCGCCCTCACTCCTCCGCCTCATTCACTGGCTGGAGCCGAGGCGTCCCACACAATGGAATAATCAATACCCAGGCGCCCGGGGCGGCCCCACTGAGCAGGTGCAGCGGCCCGCCCGCCGCAGTGAATGCCGGTAGTTGTAGTCCATCCGTCCCCGCTCCCACCCAGCGGCCAGCGAGCGCTGAGTGCCTGCGCTGGACCTGATACCGCAGGGCAGGCCAGCCAGCGGGCGGGGCCACTTTGCAAGATTGTGGCGCCAGGTCCAAGCCAGTGCTTGCAAAGGGGGCCGGAGCCTTTAAACTCTTTCTGGTGTTTTTCTCTTTTTTTTTTATCCTGCCTACAGAAACCATACATGTGTTTTGTTGTTTTGTTTTAAATCAGCTCTAGAGCAAGCCCCGGCTTTTACCAGCCTCCCAAAGCCACCCCAGGCCTCTCTCTTTTTTTTTTTTCCACTCCCTTCTTCCTGCCTTATTAGTCCCCCTCCTTTCCAGTTGGGTATTAGAAACTTCTCTTCCACAGCAGTTACTCTTAAGTCTTTGAGAGCTTGTCTCCACAGAGAGTTGGATGGGGGAAGGGGAGGTTCTGGCTCCTGGTCCTCATCTTCAGTTTATAAGCTCTTTTATATTGTAATAATAATAACTGCTAAGGTTTATTGAGTGCACAGAAACAGTTTCCAAGACCTTTTATGTATATTAACTTACTTAATCCTCACAACTAGTCCCATTTTACGGTTGAGGAAACCAGGACACAAACAAATTAATTAGGTGGCCCAAGGTCACATGGCCATTAAGTGACGGCTCCAGGATTCAAACCTCAAAAGTCTGACTCTAGAGCTCACAATTGCTGCTATAACCTACTCCTCTTAAAAATAAAAAAATAAAAAGAACAGGAAGGAAGGAAAGAAAGGAAAGAAGGGAAAAGAAAAAGAACCCTTGAGTTCACAGGAAAAAAGGAAGTAGAAAGAAAGTAACATTTTTAATCTCTAGGTTGTGACAGTTTATCATTGGATCCTCACACATAACTGTGGCAGTTCACATTTTACCATGGAGAAATGAGACGTTTAGGGAGGTGGAGTAGCTTGCCCAAGACAACACACCTGGAAATCCAAGCTGGGAGTCAACCTCAGGTCTGTCTGGTTCCTGAGTCTGGTCTTTCAGTTAAACTGCTGCCTCTGCCTGACTGGACTGGACATTGTAACCCAGGGAAGAGGACCTTATAATTCAGGGGAAGAGGTCTTTTTCCCCAGGGAAGAAAACTGCAAAGCAAAGGATTCATGAAAAGTAGGCCAATGATTGGAGCTAGGGGCTGGAGGCCCTCCCCTCCTTGGTGCCTGTTATGGGGTAGAGGAGGGATGCATCCGACACATCCCAAGTTCAAGATGTCATGTCTGTGAATCAGTGCCTTCCCCATAGTACTTCCCACAGGTCATTTGTTTCCAAAAAGATACTGGGAAGATGTCCAATATTGAGAACCTGGCACTTCTCACCCATCGTAGGAGTTGACAAGAGCCACTGTTCCTCAGCAAGCTACCTGACCCAGAGTATCAGACACACAGTGACATCTCCAGGTTATCACAGTCCTCAGAGGGAGTAAGGAGAAGGAGCCTTCTCTATTTTGTCTCCCAAAGCAGTCAAAGGGTCACCCCAATGTCTTCCTGTATTTTAAGCGAACATGAGTATATTTCTCCCACTCCAGACCAAGCCTGCTCAGGGGCCACTGGCAACTCAGTGACAAATTGCTCAGTCTGGCTGGCACTCAAGGCCATTTCCAACGTACTCTTCAACTGTATTTCTAGCCTCATGTCCTTCGCCTTACACACTGGCCAGGTGCTCTCCAGCTTCTTGGTCTTTGCTCTTGCTGTTCCTGTCTCCATCCATGGCTCTAACTGTTGAAATCCCACAGTGTCTTTAGTTCCTATCCAAAATACCAGTTCCTCCTCTGACAGAACGTTTTCCACCCTTACCCTAAACTTTCATTCTAGGATGTATTATCCCCTCTAAACCTCCAGAGTAGTTAAACTGGCCTGAGTTAGCCCCTTTTTCAACCCATTGCCACTGGCCTGTACTTGTGGGCCGCCATAATAGTCAATAAAATATCTGTTGGGACAGCAGCGTCTGAGTGAGTTACCTGGATTTCAGGCCCATCTGCCTAGGGAGTGAGGGGGAGGGAGACAGGACTTGGGCTCAGCTCCTTCCATCCGACTGTCCATACCGCCCCTTCTCAACTTTAGACAGTGTTGGGGCACTAATCACAGCTTTCCTGTCACCATAGCGACGAATGAGGCGAGAAAGCAAAATCTCCCTTTGGAACTACACCTCCCATCATGCACCTGGACCCCCCAGGGTGCCGGGCTTAGCCTGAGGCCTGAGACCCGGGCCGACCCACGGGAGCCGGGAGAGGTCGGACACGAGTAGCAGAGCGCGGGGAGAACCTCTGCGCTCCCAGCCCACCGCCGAGGTCGCGGCACCCCTATCACGTACCTAGCCTCTCAGGCCCCGGCCTGTCCTCGGCACCGCCACATCACGCCTAATATGGCCGCTCGTGCTGGGACCGGCCCGGTGCACAGAGAGCCGGGCCGAGGTCCGAGGCCAGGTACTGCTCCCGGCATTCCTCGCTGGCGTGGTGTGGGGTCCCCTCTCCATCTCCAGGTCCCCGGGGAGGGAGGCCGTCGGGGTTTGAGGTGAGACCCGGGGCTCCGCTACCCGGTGCTGTGGCGAAGGGCGGGGTTGTTCCGGGAAGTGAGCCACCGGCCACCCGGGGTAGCAAGGTATAGAAGACAAGTACTGAAAGGAGGACACCCACTACAGTTCTCTAGGAAGCCCTTTGAATTGACATCATGAACGGTGTAAGGGATTACCTGGAGATCTGTCACTGTTGCAGGGCTTTAGAACATCAGAGACAGAGGGGACCATCCATCACTAGGCAGGGAGAAAGGGCTGTAGCCCCAACAGAGAGCCCTGTGACAGTATGCCCCCTCGTAAGTTCTCCCCCGGGGTTGGGGAGGGGTGGTTACTGAATTGTCCCCCTGCAAGGCCAAGCATCCTTGGGAGCTCAGCAAATTGTTATTGACTGATTGCAGGTATCATGGCCCACGCCTTGATTGAGGTGGAGCGAAAGTTCATTCCTGGGCCTGGCACAGAGAAACGGCTGCAGGAGTTGGGGGGCACCTTAGAGCACCAGGTCACCTTCTGGGACAGATACTATGACACGCCTGAGCTGAGCCTCATGCGGGCTGACTACTGGCTGCGGCAGCGAGAGGGTAGTGGATGGGAGCTCAAATGTCCTGGAACAGCAGGTGTCTCAGGACCCCACCAGGAGTATGTGGAACTCACAGTTGAGCCTGCAATTGTGGCCCAGCTCTGTGAGGTGCTGGGGACTGAGGTCCTGGGGGCAGGAGGTGTGGTAGCTGTGCTGGGCCCACTGGGGCTGCAGGAAGTAGCTAGTTTTGTGACTAAGCGTAGTGCCTGGAAGTTGGTGCTCTCTGGAACTGATGAAGAGGAGCCTCCGCTCAGGGTGGACCTGGATACAGCGGACTTTGGCTACACCGTGGGTGAGGTAGAGGCCCTGGTGCACGAGGAGGCTGAAGTCCCAGTTGCCCTGGAGAAGATCCACAGTCTCAGCAGCATGCTTGGTGAGGGAGACAGGCCCTTGTGTGCGTTCTTTGCCTTCATTATCTGTCTTCTGGGTGTACCCACTGAATGGGTTCATGGGGAGGGTTCGTGGAGAGGGTCTTGGGGTTATTTCTGTACTGGGGATTGTTTGAGCAGTTTTTTGAAAGACCCAGTTTGCTTTTATAGTAGCTGCCTAACCTGAGTCAAGTCCTTCCAGGTCTCTAATCTCTCTCAGTCCTTGCCTCATTTAGTTCACACACCTCCAGCCACTCCAAGTTTGCATCAGTTCTCTGCTTTAATCCATCCACCCATCCTTCTCTCCCCCAAATCCCGTCCTCTTATTTTTACAACTACCTGGAGCCCTCATTTAATTTGTCCTGTTGACTTTGACTCAAAGGCGAGAACAGTGTATTTATGTGACAGGCAGCAAGACAAGTGTTGGCTGATTTCTTTTTCTGTAGACAGTTCATCCACAGAAGTATGAGTTTGTGCATCCCATGAAGCCTTAAAGCTGTGGAATGCTGTTCTCGCTCTCTCAACAAACATACGCGGAGTTCACCACTATATGCCCAGCATGCTGCCAGGCACTAACAATAAGATACTGACTTATTATGGTTCCATACCACCATTCTAGATGCTAGAATTCTATGTGAGTCCCACCCCACAGCTATAGCTACTTCTGTCATTTCTTCTATATCCCTTGGGTTCTCTGTGTGTACCTCTGCATGTGCTTCATTACCAACCCAATGAGCTTTGGCCTGCCTAGACGGGCTTTAATCTCAATTGAGGGATGGAGCAATAACTGAAATGAGTGGATATTGAGGCACCCTCTTGTCTTCATGGCACCTGAACGCCTCCTCACCATTTCTCCTTGCTGGAGGAGAGGCTCACGCTTGGCTTCCCAGACCCACTCCTACCTGAAGGCCCCACGTCCACAGGCCAGTCAGGGTGAGGGCTGGTGGGTTATAGAAGCTGGTCGGGTGGCATTCAGAATCCCAGTGCTGCCTTGGAAAGAACTCTGGGGTCTGGCTATCTGGACAGGGAGCAAAGTCAATGCATTTGAAGCTCTGTCTGTGGTTCTCTCCTCCTTCCCCTTTTGCCTGTAGGTGTGCCCGTACAGGAGACAGCACCTGCCAAGCTGATGGTATACCTACAGCGTTTCCAGCCTCAGGACTATCAGCGCCTGCTACAAGTACACAGACTCAGAGAGAAGCCACAGGGGACTAAAGATCCTGAAGGCAACTTGGGCTAGGGTGTCACTTCCTCAACAGGGAAGAGTCTGAGTCTAACAGGGTTCCCTCCTGGGCTCACTATGCCTCTTCCCCTGGCCTCCTTCTCACACTGACTCCCCTCTCTCCAGCCCTTCCTGTTCTTTCACCTTACCCTCAGCTATCCTTCCTTGAGCCCTCCCTGGCTGCCTCCTTTCCCTCATCCGTCAGATGCAATCTGTGGGCCGCCCCTCTCCCCTGGCCGCTAAGCAGCCTCCATTGATTTCCGCTCGTGTTTATAGGATTTCCACTTAGCTGTGATCAGTAGTTAAGCACAGGAAAATCCCTTGCCACCCCCCTCCCTTGGTCGATGCCATTGATTCTGCCAGCGGCTCCTAAACCGCCTTACAGCTGAGTTAGAGATGAGGGGAGGGATTTCCCTGCCTTGGGGTGTGGGAAATAGCAGCAGGTTGGGAAGTGGGTGAGAATCTGTCAGAAATCTAGAAGTTCTGGTTTTACTTTTCGCTCCTGCGCCCTACTCTGGCCCAGATGGTAGAGTGTCTCCTATGGAGGTTTAGGGGCAAATTTGCTCCCCATCCTGGAAGGGATAGAAAGAAAAGTCCTCAATTGTTCAAACAGGTTCCTAAGGCTCAAAGGAAGATACATACTTTAGTTTTTGGATAAGAAAACTCTTCTCTTCTATGATTCATAAACACTTTCTATCTCAAATATACCCAAGTATGGCTTTTGCCCCTCAGGCTTTATTGGGCTTTCATTATTGGGAAGGCAGGCCCCCACAGTTTTTGCAGAGGCAAGCACAGGCCCAGAGCACCACCTGCTGGTAGCCAATCACCAGGCTCCAAGTGGCTGGGACCCTGGGGGGGTTCAGGACACAGGAGGATTTCAGACCGTGAGTGGAGGCTGAGTTACTGCCATGTCTCCACAGGCAAGTTGTTCACCTCAAAGATCTCCTGCACCGACTGGCCAAAGTGGTTGTAGGTGAGGCGCAGCTTTAGCCTCAAGGGGGCCTAGGAGTATGAGAGTGGAGACCAAGGTTAGCACCTGTGATTTGTCCTGTCCCTGGGCCTTATCAACAGGAAGGGGTTGTGGGTGGGTGCTCTTGAGCTCACCTTGTTAGGATTGAGGATTCTGAGGAGCTGGGTCACTGGAAGGCCACCCTGAGCTGGAAGTGTGTCCCCACTGGGGGCCTGTAGCTGCAGCTGGAAACTCTGAACACAGGAGATTGGGCAGAGCACAGTAAGGCAGCTAGCTGGGCTCAGGCAACCCCTCCACACCCGAGAGTCTCAAACCCTCTTCCCATAACTTCCCAAGTGCTTGTCCCTGCATTGTCATTTCCTTCTCGTTCTTCCACCCACCCCCTCTACTTAGCCTTTTCTCCTCAAGTGCCCAGGCCACCTCAAATCCTGGTCTTCCACAAACCTTGGGCACAGCAGCCTGGCAGATGAAGTGGGTGACATCAGCTCCTGAGGTGTTGGTAGCAGTGACCATGATTAAGAGCAAAGCAGGAGTTCCAGAGGGTCGAACAAAAGACAGATTCAGCTGTAGTCCTTCCCGTTCAAACACTCTGAGATTTGGGATGGAAGCTGGAATATGGAGAGAGAAGCAGCTCAGTGTATGGGCGAAGATAACAAGCTCATTCATTCATTCAACAGAAATGAAGTGAACACCCACTGGGTGCAGGGCAGTGCTTGAGATGCTAGTGACAAAGTGGACAAGAAGATGAAACTCATAGTCCAGTGGGCAGAAAAAAACAATAAACAAGAAAACAACCAAGATAATCACAGACCAATTTGTGCTGTGAAGAAAATAAACGATGTCAGAATAACTGGGGAGAACTAACTTAAATAGGAGTGGTGGGGGAAGGCATCTGACATTGTAGCTGAGGCCTGAGAAATGAGAATGAGCCAGTCGTTTGGTGTGCTGGGCAAGAACATTCATGTAAAAGGAACACGAACTGCCAAGGGCTTCAGATGAGAGGGTCTGAGATGCTGACAGGCCAGTGGAGGGGGTAGCGGGGAAAGAAGATGAGATGCGCTGGGAGGAAGCCGGGCCCCACAGGTGAGGGTAAGAAGTCTGGAACAAAGGGAAGGCATTGAGGGGTATCTGAGAGGGAACAGGCACAAGCTAATGAACACTTACCTATCAAGAGGGGATGTGATTTTGGCAAAGAAGGAGAACCAGCACATTTCCACCCCTCCTTTTCTTAAGTCGTCTCCCATCTCCCCCTGCTTTCTTTTTTTAAAGTTTATGTATTTATTTTGAGAGAGAGCGTGTGTGCGTGCATGTGCAGGAGGGGGAGAGAGAGAGAGAATCCCAAGCAGGCTCCACTGTCAGAGCCTGACATGGGACTCCATCCTGTGAACCTCGAGATCATGATCTGAGCCGAAATCAGGAGTTGGACACTTGGGGCACCGGGTGGCTCAATCAGTTAAGCAACCAACTCTTGATTTCCACTCGGGTCATGATCTCACGGTTCATGGGATGGAGCCCTACGTGAGCCCCGCATCGGGCTCTGTGCTGACAGTGCAGAGACTGCTTGGGGATTCTGTCTCTCTCTCTCTCTCAAAATAAATACATAAACACTTTTAAAAAAGAGTCGGACGCTTAACTGACTGAGCCACCCAGGTGCCCCTCCCATCTCCCCTTTGCTGAGGCTTACGTGGGGGTGGAGGTGCACCGGGAAGGTCGAGGAGGTGTACTAAAGCGCCTCCTGGGGAGGGATCCAGAGGGGGTGGGGGCTGGGCATCCCCAGAAGTGCCATCCAGGAGATCTAACAGATCCAAGAGCTTGGAGGCCTAGGGGAAAGGGCAGAAGGAGCAGGGCTGGGTGTGGAAGCCCGACCAAGTCCTCATCCCCCTGCGGCTTCCGGCCTCCTCACCTGGGGCTCTGTGGACACAAGGGCTGTTTCCGAAAGCTGGGCTTCTTTGCTTTCCTTTGCTTCCCCATCAACCTGAGACCCACCTCTCTCCACAAGAGGCATCTTTTCCAGGATGGCGGCCCTGAGAGAATGGAATACAGGTGTGTCCCTCTGAGTGGACCCTGGGCTTTTCATAACAAGCATGGGGGAGGGAAGGGTGAGACCATGCAGAACCCTGGGCACATGGTGGGTCAGAGTGCCTTTCTGATTTCCTAAGAGGGCACACGGTTGCCAGTTTTCAGATGAGCAAGGAGAAGCCAACTTAGCTTCAGTGAACTACAGGCAGGAGGCTCTGACTGTGAAGGAGTAAGGACGCAGGTGAGGATGAGACCCTTGTGCCCAGAGAGGGGCACTGGGGAGAGGACAGGTGAGGAGGGGGCAGGGGTGTGGGTCCTACGCCAATCGCACCTCATGTGGTCATACTTCTGGAAGAGCGTGTTGTACTCCACAGCCCGCTGCTGCAGCTCCACGTCCAGGCAGCTCCCGTAGATGGACACCACCTGGCGGATGCGGCTGGGCCACAGGGTGGTGTGTGAGTGGGGATGCAACCTGCCCCGCCCTTCAACTCCAGGATATGGCAGGGAAGGGAAAGGCCCCACGGAGCAGGGGGATGCCCACAATACTTGGCTCAAAAAGAAGAACCTAAGGATTGTGGGAACTGGGATGTGTGTATGGAGAGAAACTCAGAAGCGGGTGGGCACAGTGAAGGGACATCTGTCCCTGGAGACACCAAGAAGAAGATCTCTGGAGGGGTTGGGACCCTTTCTTACTTGCTGTCTCCACGGAGCCGGGTGCTGAGCTTCATGAGGGCTGTCAGGGCATATCCTCGGGTGGCTGGCTGGGACATGTGGGACTGCAGCACCTTTTCCAGCAGTGCCAACACCTCCTCTTCCTCCACCTTCAGCAGGGACAAAGGTAGTAGCCCTGGGGCATCTTGCCTCTCCTGCTGAGTCCCTCCTTGGTGTACTCCCAATGGAGGTCTTACCTGAAGGGGCTCTGTTTCCTCACAGCTCCCTTCCAGCAGGAGGTCCCCGTATTCTCCAATGCACCAGGCTGCCACTTGCACCAGTGGTTGCTGCATGGGATAAGAAACATGGTAGGCCAGGTTCTGGGTCCCCTCCTCAGCTTCCAACACCTGTGACCTCCCTTTATGCAGCACAGAGGTAATGGGGTTTGGAGGGGTGGGGAAAGGGAAAAGTCTTGCCCTGGAACAGTTATGTAAGTTTGTTTCCCCGCTGGCTCTGTCCTGGCTCTTGGACAACTTCTGCCCTCTGGTGGCCACGCATGGAACTACATGGCTTCATCAAAACGGGCTCAGCGAGAGGGAAGCAAGAGGGTCCTTCCCTCGAAGGGGTACCATGGTTTCTGCCCATTCTATTTGGATAATATGGAGAAATGACTACAGATAGTGGCTGGCTTCTGTTAATCCACTCGGAATTCAAGATAGTAAAGCCTGATACATGAAGAAAGAACTCTATCTCATTTGACACTCAAGACTGCTCTGGGAGGTAGACAGCTGAGTACACTGAGCATAAGGAGACTTAAATAAGTCATCTGTAGTTACACAGCCAGTAGATACCAGAGCCAGTTCAAAAGTCTAGGTGCTCTAACTAAAAACAGGGCTGTGTCCTTGAGTGTCTCTGCGAAGTAGGTAGCTGTGACTTCCAGGGAGAAACAGTTAGGACTCCGGTTGGGGGAGTAGGTGGCCCAGGAAGGGCTAAGAGGGTTGGGCGGCCCTGGGTCTGGGTGATGGGAACAGTACTTGGGAGATGTCCTCTGCCAGGGCGCTGTACAGGCGGCGCACAGAATAGGCATGTAGCTCCTGGGCCCCCCCAATCAGCTGGGTCAGGTTGGCCACTGCATCATCCCGTACATAGATGCCTGCCTGGAAGAGGTGAATGGGGCCAAGTCAGGGTGGTGAGCCCTGCCCACTCCCTCCCAGCTCTCTTAGTCCAGTCCCTGCCTCACCGTTGTCAGCACGCGCAGGATGGTATCTATGTGCCACCGCTTGGTTGGGGCAAACCTAGGGGACACATGGCTCTTCAGCCCTGGTGCTGACCCTCCCCAGATTCTACCATCTTTGCCTCCTGGTCTTTGCCTACTGGGCACCTGTCACCTCACCTCTCTGCTGCCAGCAGGATGCCTGAGGCACAGTCGGCCCGTAGATCTGGGGGGCAGGATTCCAGAAAGCTCTGCAGCTCTTGTGTCATAGCTCGCACATTGGAGCTATTCACCAGAGCCAGGCTCAGTTCCAGGGCCCGCCTATCAAGAGAAAGAGGTCTGTCTATACGGAGTAGCCAGGTCACCCCAAGACATATCTCAGGCCCTCCCTTCTCCAGGCACTGGAGCGGCACCTGTCTCCTTAATCCCCCTACTTCAGCTGTCTGATCCCATCCAGGTCTTGGCTACCAGGTGCTGGGCCCTCTGCCCCGTCTTCTCTTTCGTCTGTCCCACTCACCTGCTGAGGGAGGCATCAGGTTCCCACAGACATTCGACCACAGTGGGCCGGTGCCGCTGCACAGCGCTGTGATCAGACTGCACCATACGCAGCAATGACGTCAGGGCTACATACCTGGCCAGAGTGGGAGAGGCCCTATCACACCATGGCCATCAGCCCCTCCCTGCCCCATCCTGCCCTGAGTATTGGAATAAGAGGTAGGTGAATCAGGAGGCCCTGGAAGAAGCAGGGGCGAGGGCCAGGTGCTCAGTGGCACAGCCCAGCCAGACACCTGGGACTATCACCTAATGTTCTTGTCATTGTTGAGCAGGAAGCGGCCAAGAATGTTGACAGCTAGAACCTATGGGAGGCAAAGGTTGAGGACAGTCAGGGAAGGAGCAACTGTCCTTGTTAAGGAGTGGGTAACTTCGTGGCACAGGATGATGGGTGGGGAGGAGAAACCGGTGAATAGGACCCATCTGCCTGGCTGGGGCTGGTGAGTGGGGCCCCAGTGGGAGAGGCATATGGGAGGATACCCGAAGGCCAGGTGCAGAGCGGATGTCCATGATGGTCAGCACTGTCTCAAACAGGACTGCACTGCCCGCATTTCGGCTGGTATCTGTGTTAGTGGCCACCTGAGTGGGTGGGAGAGAAGGTGCAACTAGAAGGGGCTCTGTCCTCTCCTCAGGTCTCTGGAGGGTATCCACCGTGTCATCCCTCCATCATCTAACGAAGTTCCCTGAGCCCCCACGATGTGTCAGGGACTACCACACTGAGACAGACTGTGTCCCTGTCCTCATGGGAGATCCCAGTCTAGAGGGAAATGGAGATGTGACTATACAGCCACCACAGAATGGGTGGTCACGTGAGGGATGCCTGGGGCTGGTGGGATCTCAGAGCCACACACCTAACCGGTGCCCCACTCCAGCCCCAACCTGAGCCAGCAAGTCATTCATGGTCTCACTGCTCTCTTCGTGGTTCCGGCCCAGAATCCGAAGGAGACGAAGTATCCGGACCTGAAGTTGGGTTAAAGGTTGAAAGGTGGAGGGGTTCAGAGGGTGAGAAGTCGGGCTGAGAAAAATCCAACACTGAAGAAAGTATCATGAGGGGTCTGGCTGGTTTCCTAGAGCTTCCCTGCCCCTGCGTCCCTTGGGTCCTGGGAGATCAGACGTGTGTGAGGCTCAGGGATTTGGAGACAGGCTTTTTTGTTGTCATTGTTACCAAACTGGATTTTCTGACCTTTAGGTATCCCCATTCCAGCACTGGTCTCGGGATGACCTGTGCAATCCTGTGTCTGCCATCTTCCTGCCTAAGACACTGACTGACCCAAAGGGTTCTCTGGGAGGTGACCGATAGCCATGGGCTTACTGCTAAGCTCTCTGTTCCAGGGATACAGCAGGAAAGGATCAGCCCACCTGCAGGAAGGGGTCGCTGACTCCAGATATACTGTGTTCTGTGGAATATCCCGTTGTCACCAGAGTCCGGAGGATCTTCACCAGCTGGGGCACCACCTGGAGGGAGGGCACAGCCTTACTGGGCATTCTTCCTCAGCCTTTCAACCTTCAGCCCCATTCCAACCCCATTGCCCCTCTTTTCCTGGACAAGGGCCTGCCCCTTTCACCAGCCCACCTTTCGAAAATGCTTGAGGGCTGCAGGGCTTCGTTCACAGAGCTCCGTGATCAGCGTGATGGTGCCCAGCAGGATGCCTGGTGTGGGGGTAGGGAGTGAATGGTGGGCCAGGGGCACAGGAGAGCCTACTGTGCGTGTGTGTTTGTGTGCACATGCTACCCCTTCTCCTATGGGCTGGTGTTCCTGTCCCATTTTTCACTTCTGTCCATAGCCAGAGGTGAGGCAGGGGACAGGGAGCCCTGTGGCCTTACCATGGTGGCGTTCATGAAGCAGTTGGGCACAGGGTGGGAGGAAGATGTTGGAGAGCTCAGGGACCTTCCGGATCATGTGCACTGCAGTCAGAACAGCCTGCAGAGATCAAGGGACTCAGAAGAGGGCAGGGGTCTGCCAGGATGGACCTCCCACCTTTAACACATGGCCAACAGGACAGTTTCTGGTGGGGCAAGGGCCTGCAGTCCTGCCATCTCACCTTCTTGCGCACATAGGAGCTAGGCTGCAGGAGCAGTTTCTCCACCTCAGTGGCCAGGTCCCGGCACATTTCAGCAGAGCCCATAGTGCTCAGAGTGCACAGGGCCAGGCCTTGTACTGCCTGAATCCCCTGGCTCAGGTCACTGCAGAGTTGGGGAGGGTGGTCAGTCAAGCTCTGAGAAACCTACCCTGCCCAGTACCTACATTAGGCAGCCCCCTGGGATTTCCCAGTTCCCCACTCTTCCCATCTCCCTGATTCCAAGTGGTTCCCAGAACCCTCTCACTTCTTGATGCTGTTGGTAATGAGCAGGTGGGCATCCTGCCTCTCATCCAGTAGAAGCATGGCCCCCAGGTAGCCCACCCTCTTGTCTGTGAATCTGGGGGAGGCAATCAGTTTCAGGCACTCCATCTACAGGGAAGGAGGCAGAACAGGAAGGGGCAGGGGTGAAACTGGGAGGCACTAACATCCCTTTTCTATCTTCTTTACCACTAGATTAACTTATGGTAGCACCATTTCCCATCACCCTCCCTTCAACAAGAGGAAAGGCTTAGGAAATTCAGAGTTCGCGGGTAGTTTCGAGGAACCAGGAGTCAAGGAGGATGGGAGAAGGAGGTGACTTGAATGGGGCTGACCAGAGAATGAAGTGTTCAGTCCCCTATGACCCATAGGGGTTGTAATAAGGACAGGGGTCAGCAGTGCATGCTGTGAGGGAGGGCTCAGAATCTTTGTAGAATTAAAAAAACAAAAAACAAAAAAACAAAAAACCCCACAACAACCAGGGCACAACTAGGTGAGGGTGTCCAAGACCCTGCTCTATTAGTCTTCTTCATCAAACTCAGAAGGGAGGAGGGCCTGCCCAATACCTGTCCAAAGTGGGCGGGGTAGCCCAACATGTGGACGTAGAGCAGTTTGGCCAGCTGGCGGTGCCTGTGCAGAGGGTCCCCATCGCGGAAGGAGGCGCGGATGTGGGCGCACTCCTTTTGGATCACCTCCCGCTCCTGTGCCTGGGTCTTGGCCCCACGTATCTCCTCGATTAGATCTTGAAGCTTCAGTGAAGGCACCACCATCCTGAAGGGGCAGAGCCCGGAAATGGAGAGGGCTTTAAACCCCTCGGGCCGAATACCTGGCCTTCTAGTCCAGGCTTGCCCTGTGCCATCCTGAGGGACCGGGCCCCGAAGCTACCCTAAAACCGAGCCCATATTTACCTTTGCCCACGTGGGTCTCCACATCCCACCCCTTCCACACTGCGGGAGGAGATTCCACACCACGCATGCGTGCCCGCCCCACCTCTGCTCCCGTTCGTACTGAGCATGCGCCAGAGCCCCGCCTATTTCCCACCCCCACCCCCCCAACCCAGCCTCCAGCCCCACCTGGTTTCCCATCCCTAGCTCGGCCATTCATTTCCTTTCAGGGCCTCGAGCTACCTCTTTCGTGGTGTTCTTCCCCAGGGTCACACCTCAGGCGGCCTCAGCTTCACACCAGGGCGCCAGCCCTAAAGACAGCCTCACCTGCCTGGTCTCAACTCCGCTCCTTTCCCCCCACCGCTTCCGGGTACAGGGCCCGACAGGGGTTGGTCCTTCGACTGGTCCTTCCCTCTTCCCGCCCTCTTCACGGGACCCCGCCCCTCCCGGGCAGCCCCACTGAGCCGTCTAGAGTATAGAGTACTCTGACCTCAGGCCTCAGGCTTTGGAGTGGGGGGAAGGAGCTCTTCTGGCAGCAAGACTGCATGGTAGGCCTGGGGTTCCCCAAGAGGGCTCTTTGTACATTCTCATCACCCAGAGAGCCTCAGAGAGCTTGGATTTGAAGCCATCGCACCCCAAAGGAGATGACAGTCCCCCCCCTTTTTTGAACTTTTTTATTAATATATTTTTTGTTAAATTTCTTTGTATTTTTTTCCTGCAAGACTCGGTGTTGGCGGCACTGTTGTAGTTTAACTTCAATCCCAAATTCCATGAAATAGAAATCAGAAGTAAAGGTTTAGAGGGGAGGGAGGGAGGCAGGCCAAGGAGTAAACAGAGTTTGACTAGAAAAAAAGAAGAGGGTATGTATGGTGGGCATTCCCAGGCAAGGCCATTCCTTGAGGGAGGGGGTTGGCAGGCAGCTTGCGTCTGCCTCATGCAGGGGAGGGAGGAAAGATCCCCTGGGGACCCTACAGAGGGGTCCCCCTCTTCCTAGGGCTTCCTGCCCCCAGGGGAAAGCTATTAACAGGGATCAGCCACAATCTCAAACAGGGCTCTCCACCCACCTCTCACCCTGGTTTGACTGCCACCTCTGCCCTGCCTGGAAAGTGTGTGAGAGATTGGCTTCCTTTGATCCCTCTTTCTGTTGTTTTCCCATTTCACAAGATCCTGATGTGATGGGGGGAAGGGATATAACCCATTTAGACTACTAAACTTGTCACAGCTTCTGCTGCTCTGTGAGTTCCTCTTATCTAGGCTGGTTGTGTTCCCCAAAATGCCTCCCTGCAACCTGCACACCACAACTGCCAGAGTTGGGGAGTGGGGTCCTAGCTCAAGTGCCTCTAACCCTCGGCAATAGAAATGTCTTCTTCAGGCCCCTTAGAAGTCTAATCAAAGGCCACAAGTGAGTCCAGACCAACCAAATAAATTTTAGGGGGGGGAGAAGAGGGTGGGAGAGGTCAGTGGGTAGACGTGACTGCGTTAGACATTTTCTTTCCTTTACACATTGCTCTTGACAAGGCATGCCACCCTAGGGGGGTTGGACGAGAGGCTGGCTGTTGAGGAAAGGAAGAGGGAGATCCTAGGGAGTCATTCTACTTTTCATCTCCCCTATCTCCTTCAGGGAAGGATGGAGTTAGGCAAACACCTAGTTCAGTGCTTGGAGGTGAGATCGGATCCTCCAGGGTCAGAGATGGAGGCCATACCTCCTCCAGCTCTTCCACTAGGCCTCAGAGGGACACCAGGCCCCTTGGGTCAGGGAGCCACAGCAGCTCAGCCAGTGCCTTGCCCAGTATACAGTCATCCCTTCTCCATTTTCTTCTTCCTTCCCACTCAGCTTCCAGGAGACCCCTCAGGATACCAAACCCCCACCCTCACCGAAGTTCAGGTCTAAAGAAAAGGCGGGGAGGACATGGGGCAATGGTCTGACTTAGATTTGTGTGTCTCAGAGAAGAGAGCAACTCTGAGCGAGAAAAGCCCTTCATATGTAAACAATCTAGAGAGAGAGGTGGGGCAGGGTGGGGAGGAGAGGGAGGAAGACAGAGACAGATCCAGAATAAATGAGAGAATCTGAAAGGACAGCTGGAAAGAAAAAGCAAAAGACAAAAACAAAGGGGGAACAGAAAAGAATGGGAAGGGAGAAGAGAAAGAAAGAGAGGAGAAAAAAACAACCAGGAGGAGGAAAAGAGAAAAAGGCAGGTCAAAGAAGTGAAGAGGCAGCAACCGAAGCCAGAACTAGGCTGGGCAGGAGCCTCAGGTGAGGAGCTGGGAGAACAGGAACGCCAGGCTGAGGTCCAGGAGGGCCACGGCTCCCACCACCAGGGGGTTGGCAGCTCCCTAGAGAGATAAGGGGAAGGAAATGCAGTCTCAGTCCCTAAGGACCGTGTCCAGCGACAGGTCCCAACTTCCTGCCCTGGCAAGTGGCAAAGCTGAAGGGTCCCAGGCACCTCTCCTCAGAGGTCAGAGCAGGGGCGTGTCCAACCTTTGTTTTAGATTGCAGAAACAACTCTCTTCTCCCAGGCAGGGCCCCGCCTTCTCTCAGGCTCCCTCAAGTCGGGAACAGCCCTTCCTCCCTCCTCCCTCCACTCCCCTCCCACTAGCAGCATGTCACGTGGCCCAGGCAGAAGGTGCCTGGCCTTAGTAGCAGACGCTGGCAGCAGCAGCCAGTACTGCAGTAAAGCAGAGAGGGATGAAGGGGTGAGGATGTAGTTGCTAGGAAACAGGAGAGGCCTGGCACCCAATCAGAGTAGAGGGTTCTGGGGAAACTCCACCCCTACCAGTTTTCTGCCTCCTTTCCCATTTCCCTTCTTCCCAGGAGAGGGAGGGAGACTCAGGGTAGGGAGGGAACAAGCTTTTCCTTTTTTATTTCTGGGCACCAAAGAGAGAAACTGTGGAGGTGGGGGTGGGGGTGGAGTAGGAAACGAGGAGCTGGAAATGATATGGAAGGAGAACAGGGAAAGATGTTTTGGCTCTACCATTACTTATTGGTAACCTTCGGCAAATTACTTTAAGTGTCTGGGCCTCAGTTTCCCCATCTGTCAAACGAGGGAGCTGGAGATGAAGGTTTCTAAGGTTGCTTGCAGTTCACAAGTTCCCTTTTTTTTTTTTTTTTTTTTTTTTAAGGTGGGATATGGTCCAAGACTGGGCAGGCAGAAAGGAATCTGAGTCCAAATCGGAGCCCCTAAAGGGATCAGAGAGATGTCTGGAAAGGATGAGAGGCAAGGCTTTGAGGAGAAAAGGGGCCACAAAGCGGGGATGGAGGGCATCTCACCGGCTGGACGGGCCTCTCCGTTGCAGCAGGCTCCTCAAACTCTTCCATCAGGCACCCGGCTTCAGGACCCCTTGAGAATGGGCCCCTCAGGACTGGCGTGGCCATGGGCTCAGGCTCCAAGCGCCCTGGGGTTCTCAGCTGGGGCAAGGGCTCTTCGTCTTCCCCTTCCTCCTCTCGAAGACTTCCAGAGCTGTCACTGCAGCCTCCGAGGAGTGGGGAACCGTCTCTTGGCCCTGGGCCCTGCATCCCAGCCTCATCCTCGGCCTCATAGCCAGCTAGTTCCTCTGCCTGCTCACCTGGCCCCCCCCACTCCTCAGGCCAAGCTTTGGGGCTGGAGAAGGGACCCCGGTCCCCTCCAGGAGGCAGTGGGCTCCGGCGGGCAGGGGGTCGCCAGGGTTGGCGGGAGGAGGCAGGACTGCTGGGCAGTTCAGGGGAGCCCTCTGAGGGGGTCAGTCCATTCTCGTATACCCCAGGGCTGTCCTCATCCAAGGGTTCTGTGTCGGAACCTTCTGAGTCTTGCCGGGGTCTGCGGCCTGCAGCAGGGATAGCTGAGAATCAGAGGGGCCTAACTGGCCTTGGGAAGCAAGAGCTATAGCTTTATCCCTCTCTCTGGGCACCTCCCAGGACTTTGCATCCCCAGGCTTACAGCCTCTCATAGCCAGACCCCAAGCCCCTAGTCCTTATTACTAAATTTCATAAGTTCCCGGTTGCACTCTCCAAACAACTGGGTCTGGCCCCCCTCTTCATCCCCTTGGACCCTCATACCTTGGCTTTTTCATCCCCAGTCCTCTGTAGGGACTTCCTTCCCTTTCCCCACACCTGAGCCCCTCCAGCTCCCCAGGCTGCCCACGCCTCACCTGGGGCCTCTAACATGGGTTGCAGGTCCTGGGCTATCAGTTTGGCCATTCGAGCTGCCTCCACAGCCTTCTCAGCGACGCTGCTGGCTGCCACTGCCTTTAGAAGGGCATCTGCCGCCCTGTCGGGTTCCAGGGGCAGGGACTTAGCAGACCTGCTCCGATGCTCCAGCCCCCTGGCCCATGTCCCTGCCACATCATGTCCTCTGGATTTGAGCTCACCTCTGGAGTCCTCACTCTTGCTCACGCACTGCTGGCTGCTCCCTTCCCTGGCCTGGCAGGGCAGCTGGCTTCTGGTTTCCTCTCCTAGACCTGGGCTGTGACTGCTCTCATCACACTTTCTTGCTCCTTTCATACCTGCCACCATCATGTCCTGTAGTAACACCTTCCTTCTTCCAGCAACAGGGGCCAGGCCCTCCCTGGCTGCCCTCAACTCTGTTATCCCAGCCCCATCCTGCTCCCTTCCCAGGGACAGAGGAGACCTCATGCTCTTAGCACATCTCTCTGTAGTTGCACCTGCTTGGTACTTCCCAGCAGCTTTCCCTGCATTGCCCCTTGTTCTGGGCCATCTGCTCCCTGTGCTAGGAGCCTTTGCCTCCTTTCCCCTTACTGCTACTAACACTGCCTCTTCATTGCAGACTTCCTAACATGAGAATTTCACAGGTTGCTTTTCTTCAGCCTCTTCTGTTATCACACTGTTCTTGCCTCTTGGTCATTGCCTCTGTCTCCCTGCACCATCACCTCCTTTCTGAGTTCTGGAACTGGGATAAGCATGGGTCTCCCCTTTCTGTTTTTCCTACTTCTTCTCCCAGCTACCATGCATGCTTTCTCACTATGGTGTTTACATCTTCTGAGGAAGCTCTTAGATTCCTTCCCTTTCACATGTCTCTCCCATTGTGCCCTGCTCTGTGGGTACAGGCCACCATGAAGCATTATCAGTCCTTTCCCCATGGTTGTTTCCCAGTTCTCCCTCTGATGTCAGATGCTTCCTCAATTTACCTTCCCTTTCAACTTCTGCTGTTAATCACAGATGCCCTGTGATCATTAAATTAGTTCTGTAATCCTGACTGAAGGTGGGGCACAAAGGAACAGAGATAAAGGTAATCAGATATACTTGGGCTTAAATGGATCAAGACCCCTCTGGCTCCAGGCTTGTTTCATCTGGCTTAGGAAGGCAGACTGGGTATGGGGGTAGGGAGAAGTGTGGTGGTGTTCCTTGTAGTCTTAAGTCTATCCCCTCTTGATGTACCTCAGGAGATATGGTCAGCCTCCTCCCCTCAAATCTGCTGGGTTAAGGACTTTTAGAGCCTGTTTGGAGGGACCTCAGATAACCATGTTCTTCTGTCTTTGCACTGTTAGACTCTATATGGCTAGTCCCTTCCTGAAAGTAAGCTGGTCTCAGGGTTTAGGG